TTCAGTCCCTTCAGTCCCGCACCCGAACGCCCTGAACACCCTGAACCGATGACGTGGCCATTCGGCTAAATCTGCTGTGCTTTATAATGCCATTGCAAACCACCCCCACCTTCATGTTTGCCATCTTTTGGGGGCCTAAAACCTGGCTATTGCTGACGCTGTACGAGCCAGATACATTGTCGCAGACACCACAGTTTAGTCTGGTCTTGGCTACCTTCTTTCGAGGGACGCATTGAAAAATTTGTCGGCGAAGGGCGCAGAAGTGAATACGAAAAACTAAGAGAAATGGCATTCCTTGAACCAATGCCCTGCTAAACGATATCGGGGCCTGAGGCTAAACATATACATACTACGGGTAGGACATGCCGTGGTGATCTTCTACCGTGGTCCTATCATGTGGATCCATCACTTATCACGTTTTCCTTCACCTATCATCAGGGCTTAGTAACCGCTCACCTTCGGTGCGAAAAGGACGAACTAAAATCTTAACTGTATACCTTGCCAGCGGCACGAGAAGAGGTTGGCTGGACGGAGCGGTGGGAAATGCCTTTTCATGCATCAACGGCTTTTCGTGATTGAGAAATTTCATTCCCCTTGATATATACTTCGAACGCTCCATAATGCCCAACACCAGCCCTAAATTTTTTCTACAACAATCACACGATCACACGCTATATAAAGCGATCTGAGATGAGCACAGATTCTGAGATCTCGGAGAACAAAAGGCTTTGCGTCCTTCCGACTTTAAAACCATCGCACCAGGAAAAACGCCTGAAATTAAGCAAGTCCAGACACTTTTCATCAAATGTGCAAGTACCAAACATTGACAAAGGCGCTAGGTCAGTAAAATTGCCCGATATCACCGTTGAATAAATTTGTGCTCCTAACACAAAGTCTAGATCGAGTTGCAACTGTGGAAGCCAGAATTCGTAGCCAGATAGACAAGTCATTGCACCTTCTAGAATCATGAACGTGATTTGATCATTCGCCAACTTTCCATTAAACCCCTCAGACACCTCTGCGCAGCGAAAGACAGATCTCACGAAGATAGCCAAAGTTGCACACCCGAGTGCGGAGTATGAACAAGTGCTATTGATCCGCTAAGCTCCGAAGCGCAGCCGTCCCCTTGCACCAGCGTTTGTCTCGTCAGCTTCTCGGTGATCACCAATAAACACCACTCTACCCTCCACCCCCATCTAGCCCGAGCATCTGCACCCTGATTGAAACCCAAGATGCGGAGGCGACCTCTGTAGAATAAGACTGCTCATAAATCTTCATTAATCCGGATATTTTGGTTATGGAGGTCGAACTACGGATGCATCCTCTGATAGTATACAGTAGTGTAAGTTCATCAAGAGTGTAAAGACTTCAAAACAAGCTGATAAACCCAGTGAAAGGATGCCGGATCACCCCGAAAAGAGGATGAGGCTACTCTTTGCTCTCTACTAGATATTTGGTTGACGCTGGCCGCTGCGCGGGGGATCTGCCTGCGAGCCAGATACACCTGCTGGGAGGCAATGTGACCATCTATAGAGGAGGTCTAGGGAGTTCGAGGAAGAAACCTCATCCATGATGGTAGAGGTCTACAGTCGAGAAAGGTAGATTTCGTAACATGGATTGTCATAATTGATACTATGATTCAAAGGTGTACCCTGGCAACTTTAACTTGGAGGTCTGTGTACTGGCTGTTTTAAGCAGCTTCATAATCTCGATATAACCACCGCCTGCTGTGGCCTGGAGAGCTGTGTGGTCATTATCTCCAGTATTGACATTAGCTCCTTTGTTAAGAAGTAGTTCCACAATCTTGATATGACTATTATCTACTGCGGCTTAGAGGGCTATACAGCTATCACTCTCACTAGGTTTAGCATTGATATCAGCTCCTTTATTAAGAAGTAGCTCCACAATCTTGGTATAACCACTGTATACTACAGCCTGGAGAGCTATATAGCCGTGATAATTAGTAGGTTCAGTGTTAATATTAGCTCCTTTGTTAAGCAGTAGCTCTGTAATCTTGATATAACTACCACCTACTGCGGCCTGGAGAGCTATCTAGTTATTACCCTAAGTAGGCCCAGTGTTAAAATCAGCTTCTTTGTTAAGAAGTAGCTTTAAAATCTTGACATAACTACTATCTGCTGTAGCCTGGAGCACTGTGTGGCCGTTAAAATTAGAAGGTTTAGTGTTGATATTAGCTTCTTTCTTGAGAAATAGCTTCACAATCTTGACATGACCACCACCTGCTGTGGCCTGGAGAGCTATGAGGCCATATTCCCTAGTATTGACATTAGCTCCTTTGTTGAGAAACAACTTCAGAATCCCAACATGACCACTACCTGCTGTAGCCTGGAGAGCTGTATGGCTATTGCCCCTAGCGTTGATATTAGCTCCTTTGTTGAGAAGTAGCTTTATAATCTTGATATGACCACTACCTGCTGCTATCTGGAGAGCTGTATTACCATCACCCCCAGCAGGTTCAGTATTAATATCAGCTCCTTTATTGAGAAGCCACTTCACAATACTGACATGAACACCACCCGCTACGGCCTAGAGAGCTCTGCGGCTATTGCCCCCAGCAGGTTCAGTGTTGATATTGGCTTCTTTGTTGAGAAGCAGCTCTATAATCGTAATATGGCGACATCTAGCTGCCAGGTAAAGAGGCAGTTGCCCCTTCAGATCAGGGATATCAGACCTGGCTAAGTAGCAGTGCCACACATGCCAGTCTTCCTCGCTAAGCAGCTCGAAATAAGGCAGTTTGCCCGAAGGTGTCCTGAGCATCAACAACGGCTCCACCTTTGAGTAACAACTGCATGCTATCTGGGTATCCTTTCTCTGCGGCCCAGTGTAATGGCGTTCGACCAAAATTATCACCAGTATTTACGTTAATACCAGATTGTCTGATAACTTTCTCCACAAAAGATATTTGGTTTTTCTCCACGCCCCAATGCAATGCAGTTCTCCCCAAGAAATCCCTCTCACATCCAAGGTTGGGCTGGCTTTCCATTATGGATAGTACTCTCGCCACGTCTTCTGTGACGGCCGCCCGATAGAGATCGGGTTTTCGACCATTGTCTGGAGTGGTCGAACTAACTATGCTGGGATGTAACTGCATAGTTTGCTGTGTCTTTCTTCTCCACGCTGGATCTATTGTTTTCTGGTGTTTCTCTCCGGGGGGGTTGTTGAAAAAAGGTAACGGTATCTTCATTTCCGAGTAGATCTGACGGACTGAATCGGAGAGCAACAAAAAATAAGGCCGATTATTAATTTTCTGCCTCAGTCATAATTATATTAAAGAAATATCATAGAGGAAAGTTAGAAGAGACGAAGGCGGAGGAAAATGCGAAGTGTCTCAAAATCCGCGGGACAAGTGGCTAGGCACAGGCTCCTTTGCTCAGCTACCCTACTCAGAATGCAGGAATCACAAATTGAGAGACAACAAATGTATCCTTAGTCTGCCAATCAATTTCATATTTGGTATTGGTTCGCCATGATCTCTTGAATTGGTATCTAACTCCTAAGTTAGATTCTGTTTCGTAGTCAAAGCCAATGGTAAAACAGGCTTCTATAGATACTGGCCAGAGAAGCTTAGCAGCTACTACGATCGGTCGATTTTTCACATATTCGCTCGCTTAGGATATAATGAGCCGCAGTCGCACGACCGGGGGTGATTTTTATCGGCACTTACGCTCTTTTCAACCTAGTCGCGCAACCTTCAATCGGCGATCTGTTGTTTGCAAAATTTATGTCAAGCTAAAAGGCTAGTAATTATTCATTTTATTGGGAATGTGTGTGTTCTTGACCTACGTCTACCGCGACCTGGAGATCATTGCCAATCATTGCCATAGTCTCGACCTACGGCGTTGGCGTCCGAACATCGATCCAATAGCATCTGCACCACTGGTTTATGCCCTTCCAATTCGCGGCGGTGATTCTTCATGTTCGTCGCGGTTGGGCGGTTCAGGGGTTCGCATCGCGGTCCCGCCATTACTCAAAATCGATTCCGTCGCCACGTGGTACACTCACACTCACACAATTCACTTTCTCGTACAGTCTGAGCCCGTACAATAGTCGATCCGAGCTGGAACAGTCGGTGCGAATAATTGCTGCACACTACTTCAGCCCCTTCAGCCCTTTCCAGAAATATCATTCAACTCTTCGACCCAATAAAAACGCCTCAATAGCCGCCTCGGTGGACCTTTGCGCCCCAGCCCCCACTGGGCAGCCCCGGGCGGTGTTGGTGTCACTAACACCATGTCGCTGGTGCCGTCTGTTTCCTGTTTCCTGTTGAAATCTTGCCATGTCCCCATACCCTCAAACTATACTCCTCAAATCATGAAAGAAGTTACTTTTCGCCAGCGAGTGGGACAGGCCGAGAGGTGTGGCATCCGGTACATGGGATATGTCAGTCGGGGTCATTGGCCAAGTGCCCACCGCAAGCTATTTGAAGATATAAAAAAGTTGGGAGCGGTATCAGACAGCGAATACAATGCTGATGTCACAATTGACTCTTTTGAAAAGCCATGGAGAGCAGAAAATAAAGAAAAAAGTCGGTTCCTTGCTCAGATCACGAGAAAGTTGGGTAATGAAAGGAGGAATGAGCCAGGGTGGAGACTGAATGTCGAATCGTTCGTTCTCTACCGATTTACAGTTGAAGTCACTTGGTAAGCACGAAAATCTCTGGAAACGGGAAGCTAGCTACTTCATCGGCCTCCGATGTGTTGAAAGATTACTGAACCTCGACGGCTGAAGTACCCGATGTCGAGCCAGATTATGGAGATCAGAGATTGAAGCTGCAGCCGACAGTCTTTATATCGGGAATCTTCCTGCTCAAGTCGCTTCTTTAGAGCAGCGACGTGGAAAACGAGACCCTTGTCAATGCCCAAGCGACCTTCAAGGTTGGAGTGATGACCAGTACGTTTTCTTACATGTTCTTACGGAAATTATTATAAGCAAAGCCAACATTTAACGTGTCTGAGGAAAGGTATGATCGTGGAATCAACATGATTTTTTCCGACCGCGCGGAAGAATCGATCAGGTATTCTACTCCGGTCCCGTCCGATAGCGCAGGACAACAGCGCACTGAATTTCCAGACCGAGCAATTGGCTTGACCGAAACGGAGAATTTCAGGATGCTACTGAACTCAGACGATAGCCGAACACTTGTAGATGGAGAGCGGAAAAGGCTACGCGATACAGTGAAAGTCAGCCCATACCAAGAGGAATCAAATGGCCTGTTGTTTCCATTCCTGATAATAGAGGCGAAATCAAATAAAAGTGGATTTGATTTTCATGCTATCGGAATGCAAACGATCTTTGCAATCAAGCGCCTTTTGCAGTTACAAATGGACCTCCGCACAGCTACCGGGAACGAGACATTTGAGCCACTAGTATGGTTCATTGGCTATGCGGGGCAGTTTTGGAATGTCTCAGCTTGTGTTTTGCACAGCACAAGGGCGGGGAGGGCCGAATTTGTAAGTTCACAGGAACTGATTGCTCTTTTGGTACTGAGAAGTAAACCTTGGAAGCTAAACAAATGAAGCACATGATCACGGTCTGGGAAGGAAATCTTACCAAAGAAGACCAAGCCCTCCAGATTCTTCTCATTATAGACTATATCTTTGATTGGGCTCGAGATATATATCGACCATTGATTCTGGCCCAGCTTAATGCTCTATCTATGGAAGAGATCCTCTATCCTGACCCAGATATTTTTTCCACCATTGAAAGCAGAGAGCCGACTTGGACGGAAAACGGATCACAAGAGACTCAATTCTCTGCCCCTGAACGCCGGCTCAGCCAGTCATTTCGCAGTAACTGGCCATGGGAGCTAGATCTTGTTCCACATGGTGTGATTAGGGATGCATCAGTACTCCAGACCAGGTTTCTTGGACTAGTTCTTGCAGAAGACGATGTGGAAGACTTTCTACTTTCCTTTCAATCAGAAGATGCCACTCACTCAGAGATTTCTGTGCTTCTGAGCACTCTGAAGGACTCGTGGCGTGTAACGGGAAATACATTGTTCGCCCTGGAATGTGAATGGACAGAAGAATCCTCGAACAAGCCCTTCGGTCTAAGCCCACAATCTGATGAGATCTACTTTCTCAAAATTGCAATACAAATGTTCATTGGTGCTGAATGGGAACCTGTGCGCCAATTGACATACCTTGCCATATCAGAAGGTGCGATGTCAAAGTTCATCAACTACGTGACACCCAAAACGAACATCAACGCTCACTTGAACAATGTGTCTGTTACCGAGTCGAAAATCACTATTCTTATTCAACAACTCAGAGAGCAATCTATCGTTGATAATCTGACAGCAGCCATGTCAATGGTGTCATTCTCAAACACCACACATTCACAGGGGAAAAGATCGCGTGCCCGACGGGTTTTGATGAAGGCCGATTGGAAATTTGACAGTTCTCATATCGTGGTCGACTTCGTGACAATAATCTACGATAATCATAAAGTCGGTCGCCGTGAGCCAAGAGATCATTATCTTCGATTTTTTCAAACTCGACGCAAGCAAACTGTTCGCTTTAGCGGTACACGAATTTGGCCTCACTTGGCACCTATACAACTTGACCAAAATGGATGTGTCCTTGTTGATAATATCAGTGCCAGCGCAGACATGCCAAAACGTTGTCTCTACCTTGTACAGGGAAATCACGATCAAGACAAAGCATCAGCACTTGTAAAATTCACCTCAGAAAGGGGGCTTTACTACACCACCATACAGCTGAAATCAAGCATATGCTCCGAAGAATACTCAAGATATTTGAATCGCTCAACATCGCCCAATGGCTACTGGGTGGATAAAGGCAATTCAGAGGAGATTCGAAATTGGATAAGAGAGATTGAACAGCGGACTACAGAAGGAACGGCAGGTGCAGCACGTCAGGTTGAGTACATAGATATCCTCTCCGAGGACTCTTCATCTGAAAAAGATGCTTCAATGAGTTCGGATTGATCTTGTGGGGATACTCGACTTCATGCACACGCATAATCTTCCCATATCGAAAGGGCCCGTTGACACAACTTGCCTAATTGGCGAAGAGAAAAAAAAACTATATGTTGGGTTGATTAAGCCGTACCGGGTTTGAAAGCGGCGGCAATAGGGATTTGGCCGGCTTGACCTTGCATTTCCCCACCACGAGGCCATTTGACATAAAACTTTAGATTGAGCCCTTGAATTTCCATGACGAGATCATACTCAACTAACCAGTACCAGGGGCTTGTAGCAACACGCTGCCTTGCTTGTACAAGACCCTGATCCCTGAGAAAGCTCATGTCTACCTCTATTGTACCAGCCACAATTGCACCTTAATTTTTAGCTTCAATTTGCCCTTCAAATAAGTGACGAGAAAATACTTACTTTTGTTGCTACCATGGTTGTACTGCAAGTTATCCTCGACGTCACCATCAGATACATAAATACTCTCATAGAGCATCCAATCTTGTCCTTGCCGAAATATTTGATAGCTTTGACAGGTGAAAACATGAACTGTATCAAGTCTTTGTTTCTGCAAACCAATTGTAAGATTTGTAAGTTTTATTCAGAGGGAAAATTTGAAATACCGCATACGTACCTTCTTGATAAGCCAGGAGATGCAATTTCGAACATAGGAAATTCCATTTGCATCATTGTGGATCACGGAATCATAGTATTTGTGTGACATATCTTCAGGGTTATACTCCTCACTTTGGAGAAAGCCATAGCTTGAGTACATCTGACGTCGAGGACCATTCTTTTTGTTGACTGCACGTAGAATTGCACCCTTCGAGACCATTTGCGACAGATCCCTTCGAATTTATCAGCGTTTAAACTCAAATTCGTGATCGCATCAATCATATTGAAAGGCATATTACTTGCGTAGATCGCATGCAAGTTTCATTCCGTCTGGTAACCTAGCACGGAGAGAATCCTGTAACATGCACGAATTGCCAAAGCCGCCAACCAATAAAACTCGCTAGTTTAACATGAGTGAAGGCAAACTTAACAGACAAGGAAGCTAGATCAGAATTGACCTACCTTTAGTTTTCCTCTTCTTGATTCTGGCGTTCTTTTCATGGCTGCATTTGCAGCTACAAGCTGTGTTTCAATTAGTCTAATGACGCCATCGATACTTGGGTTAAAGCAGTCCATGATGACAGATCTAAAGTATCTAACCGTTAGACACATTTGGAAATCTTAATAAAGTCAATAAAGAAACTCAACAAACCGTGGAACGTTGAGCAATGAGCTTTCAAAATGCTTGTCTGGATTCTCTCTGAGGCCTTGTATTTCGAAGGATTCCCCTTCTTCATTTGTAAAACTCTGCTTGGTCTCATTCTCAAATTGATGCATGACGCTCTTATCCACAACATTCTTCAATGTCTTTCCATCCGTTTCGAGGTAGGTCTCATCCTGCAGCATGGATAAGACTTTGCGTTGTAAAGCATCGTTGATGTATTTCGATCCGCAGTGGCTCCCTAGTACCCAATTCATCGTTATAAAAGCGAAATTAAGAGCTTGTATCTAGCTCACCTATCGGCTTTGTCACTTCGACCAACCGCACAGGAACCATTCCTTCGATTCGGTATGTAATGGTATCCTTCAATTTCGACCATCAGTCCCGAATGAATGGTATATTGCTAGACAACATACCACAGTTCCCCCTCCGGCATCACATACGATGAATGTATCCCCCTATTGTACCATGAACCAGTTAGCAGGATCCAATAATCTATTGCTCAGTCGAAGTAATAATACTTTGCTCCAATTGATCCTTGTCTTTGTGGCTCCCAATCGCGTCTCACTTTCCAACACCATGGCCGCAGCAGCTTCTGGCTCATGAATCATCCAAAAATTATAGATGCTTCCAAACTGGGCTCTATTAGAAACTTCTCCCATGATTTCTTGCAAGTCACGTCGAGCAGTTGCATCCCAGGCTGCAGGAACACACAAAACAAGCTCAACATCGCAAGAATCATTATATCCCTCAATTAATGTGAGCTGTATTTTTGTATGTCGGAGAACTTCGACAAGATAGTCCGTCACAATGTCCGTTTCCTTCTTGCCAAGGGTCGCCAAGGTTTGCCGGAGCTCTTGCCTGCTGATCTCATCTTCGTCGTTACCAGAAAGCAGAACTTTTGGACAAAAGTTTAAGCCCACGATCGACTCTCGACGGATCTGAAGTGTCTGGCGTAATTTGAAAGCTAGGAATCCCCAGTAATGCTGCCCATTTGCATACCAGCTTTCACTCGGAACTTCCTCTTTGTTCTGTGGGTTTGTTCCACCATGTGCCCTTGGCCAGTTTTGAATAGCTTGAATTTCATGAAGGTCGATATCATCTGGCCGATCCTTGGGGTCAAATTTGATATAAGAAACTGAGGTATAGGTGGTTCCGTAGTCGAGAGCAACTATGAAGGTAAAGTTTGAGGGTGACTCGGGATCAGCGTCTGGCATTTCAGCATCGCTATCCCCGACCGAGGCATCACAAGGCGGCGATGGCGACTTCTTTGCCCTGAGACGCGTTCGAGGGGGCGCGTTCCGTGCTTGATTTCTTCCTCGTCCCATGATGCAAGAAGAAACTTGGTCTGTGGTCTGGCGAAGGGTAAAGAATGTTTCCGCCCGTTGTTTTTTTTTTTTAAAAAAAAAAGGAGGGAAAATTGAAAATGTAGAGATTTCGGCTAACCGCCCCCAATGCTGTTTTTCTGAGGTGACAGGGGTTATCACTAGTTGCATTAGTGCATCACGAGACTTGGAAAAACTCTGCGCACCCTCAGGTCCCTGCCTAGCTTCATTTCCTCTGAAGAGAGAAAGACAAAGCCACCACCCGTTGCGGAAGCTTCAGCACTGATACTGGCTCTAGATCCAGTTGGAGGTAAGATTAGGCTAACTGAAACCTGAAAAGCGAAGGTAAATGCGGGCGGCCGCGAACACGTTAACTGAAAAAGGATTAGACGCGCTTTCTCAAAGTCCTGAACCCTAGGGTCTTTAATAATCATTATCACTCTATTCAAACGGTTCAAAGATGGCCACCAAGAGTCCTAGCGTCGAGATCGAAGAGGCCTCATCTGATTTTCAGAATTGCCAACAGCGAATGAAGGGTTATACCTACGTGCCAATGGAATCTGGTCCGGCTGTCCGCGACATCAATTCCGACATCAAACTTGACGACATAATTTATCTAAAGCGGGTTCCAAAGAGTATTGACAGGTTTAGACCTGCCTCTGTTGAAGCACAGAGCAACAAACTTGTTTCAACACACAACCCAAGAAATGGATTGAGAGAAAGAGAATCGTCAAAAAAGCGTTCAAAATCGGCACGTGCGTCTACATCAGCAAAAGCAAGGACGAGAAGGTTGCAAAAAAAAAAGGTCTGTGAAGTACAAGAAATGGTCATGGCTTTTTTTTCTCAAGGATTGCAGACCTGACATCACTCTATAGATTGTTTACGCGACGTTCCCTAACCTATCCAAGTTTGGTCAGAAGATTGCTAGCAATGCCAAGGAATATGAGGTAACCGAACAACCGAGCGTGAAAATGCAAAAGCTTGACTCTGTTGTGATCAGAGGGGAGAAAAAATATTACGAGACAGGTGATAGGCCAGATTATGTCAAAAATGAAAGATCTAGCTCCACTTTGGTCGGCCGCAAGAGCGAGGATTTGTCGAATTTGGCAATGGATCTTATCAGCAAACAAGAAGATCACAAGGATTACGCGAAGGAGAATAGAATTCTCAAGAAGCAGATTCACTCATTGCTAGCCGCCCAAGCACAAGAAGTGACAAACATGGAAGCAGAGCTTGAATGTTTGAGGAAGCAAAACGAAGACCTCGAAAGAAAGATTGCCCAGACTGAGCCATCGAGCAGAAGATTGAGTCACCCCAGCCGCGCAGACCTTGATGAGATAGAAGCTCGAGATTCAGTGATAAAGCGGCTCAGCATCAAAGTTGATAAAGCTTGTCGAATCGATAAATTTATGGAAAATCACCAAAGATGTAATTGGGCACAGGGACCATCTGATAGTGATGGGGGAATGATCAAAATTAAGAAGGCTGTGGTTCGCCTTGCCAATTCCTTGAAGAAGTGTCTTTTGAGTCCACAAGAATTTGGAGCATTAATCGCAAATGATGAAAAATGCCACGACACTCTTGAAATTTTGACCAGAACGATTGACGATGTCGGATTTTTATTCATTGAGCCCTGGCTGGTCTTTCGGTCATTTTTGTTCCTTTTCATTAGGGATCGGGTATTTTACTCTGATATCTGGGCAGTCTTCCATTGTGATGGCTTTGTTGCGAGAGAATATCAGCGGGTTATCGAGCTTTGTGGTGAGATCTGACTAAATCCTATTTGAGATAAAGACACTCTGTTGACATATCATCCTTAGCCCCCGAAGGCTTCCTGGAAACATTTCATGCCACTACATTCGACGATATGATCAACGATAAGGGCTTTAAGGACCATATCCTGAAACCCCACTGCGAGGATGTTCGGGATGAACTGATGAAGATTCTTATCCCTCTTATGGACCAATCGAAAATTGAGGACAATAGAAAGAACATTGGAAGTCAGGCGTACTTCATGCTTGAACATGCATTTGATCTTCGCGCTTCATGCATTCCTTCACCAACAGAGCGATTCGAGATAGTACATTATCGACCTGGTGATCTGTTCAATGCAGAGACCATGCGGGTTGAGAATATACATGGGCAGGAGGTTAACCCACCAGACGTTGCTGGAGGAGAGCATCGTATCAAGATCTGTGTGCATGGTTTAATGCTGGCACACCAGGTAGAAGAGACTGCAAGGGGCATTGAGTTCTTGAAGGTTATGGGTCAGCCCTTTCTTGAGTCTGATCAAGAAGTAATGCTGAAGGGCAGGATTGTGAGTGAGAAAGCGTGTGTCATTTTAGAGACACAGATTTAGTGATTTAATCAACATGTATTAGCCCGGCAGCATGCAAGTTAATCACATGCAGATCTGGTTAGGAGTTATCTGACCAAAATCTGTGAGGTTAAAAGTCATAAGTCCGTTGCTTTGCTATATGAAGAATGTTCCCCCATTACGGCGCTCCGTAGCCGCAAATTCCGATCGACCCAACAGGGTTTATACTGTATTTATACGTTATTGAAGCTCGCCGCTCTTAGGGGCCGCCTGTTATCTCAGTATCCAAATCTACTGGTGTTCCCCATACAAATTTGGGACACAAAGAGTGCACCCGGCCTCTTGACAACATAACCTCGCTGCTATACCTTAAAGGGCCTCCGATTGAAACTATTCCGCCCATACAAATTGTCTCTCTCTAACGAATCAGTATGCAGAGCACGTAATTTTTACTTATAGTATCTTGAAACTAACACGGTCAACTACCACCACCACACCAACAAAACTAGTAGGATCTGAGTGGTTGTTCAAGAAGAAGAGTTTAAATTGACTCTCTAAGATTTATATACGTGGCCGTTGCTCATATATTCGAGAGGGCATCGCTATCACACGTATTGAGTGGCATTGCAATGATGGTGTGGAGGACCAGGTGTAGCTGCTGTGTCCCAAAATTATATAGGGAACCTTGGGAAATTTTGGAGACCAGGCTTGCAAGAAGCACTGTTTTCTGCTGGCCTAAATTTCACTAATTACAGTGTAAAATCTGTTGGATCGATTGCGGCTATGAAGCGCCGTACCACATGAGAAAACACTAGATCATGGAATGGATCAATTAGAATATACATCCTTGAGGTGGTTAGCTAGCATAGCCTTAGCTACTCAATGTTCTGGGGTGGATTTTGAAAGGGATGAACCCCCCTAATGCAGTTTGTCAAAGCAGACGGATAGACTGATAAAGAAGACCGGAAACTATTTATGTTATCGCTCATGTGTAATTTGGTACCTGGTTAGGTTTTCTCCAGTTTTCCCGAATTCGACTTTTGGATGTCAGTTTTGGCTCCTCCGATAAAGGGAACGAGTGCCGAACAAAGCGGCGAGCCGCCTAACACAGAATCGTGGGCGCTAGGTGACCGCTGACATACAATATCTGTTGTATGTTTTTGTTTTTGCTTCTTGTATTTTGTTATTTCTTTCGGTTTAGTCGAATGCCCTGGCCGCCCAACGACAGCAGCCCCTTCATACCCCGGCACCAGGAAAAACCATGACCAACCGGTTGCCGCCTTAGCCAAACGCAAACCAATAGAAAAGGTTTTTTGTTTTCATGAAAACGTCGTAAATTTTGGAACAACAGAAGAAACTGCAGTACGCAGGATATGTCTGCTGACTGTAAAAGATCGGGAAACCTGGCTTGATCAGTCGCTAGGCGCCCCTAGACTTCCGCAGAATTGGCTCCAAGTTACTATTTAGGTGATAGTAGCCAAAGTAACTTTTTATAACTTTCAAAATTAGATTTTCCTCTTAAAGCTAGTGTTTATATTCAGGCAAATTAATATTCGCTAAAAACCTGTCACTTTTAAGTCAAGAGGATCTTATTTCTAGAAAAAGTACTCATATTTACCTTTGAAAGGAATTTCTAGCTTCCCGTACTTTCTCTTCTGTCCCATTGAAAACAAACGCGGAAACTTCGGGGTTAGGTTCTCTGATAAACGTATTCTAAACAAAAGAGTTACTGGACTCGGACGGCACATCTTGATCGAGGGTACATCAAAGGCTTCTAAGGTCATTTGGAAAGAAATATGTAACCCAGGGAAGGGGTAAGATAATTTACGGTGGAGCTTAGAAGGAGATATCCTCTGAATGTATATTTCATTGGCATTCATGATAGAAGCGCTGTTGTAAAGAACTGGCGCTCGACTAATATAATTCCGTGTCCATATCCTAACCTATTTTTGGCTTATCTCCCGCGAGGTACCCAACAACTTTTGACTGGCAGAAACCTCTACGCCACGCGCTCCAATTCGCTGCTTTAGCACAATTCAAAGTAAATAATTATATTTTATCGCTAAAAAACTGCCCTACTGCTATCTAGCTAGTAGTTATTAGGAGGGGTAGGATAATAATACTAGCAATAGCAGAGAGAGATAGTGGTGGTATGAAGAAGCTATCTAAAGGATAGGCATTGTGGGCACAGGATGACTCAATAGCCTGGGGTCTGTGGCGGGTACGGACTGCCGTACCCAACCCCAAGTTATGTCGAAATAATGTCTGCGTGGAAACACCAGGGTTTTCTGTTCTAAAGTCCACGGCAAATCATGGAATTTCCACCGTATCCCCCATTTACGGACACCATATCGGATTACTTATTAAAGATTGCTCCACTTTTGGCTGGATGAATCTGGTTTAGCGTGGTTGGCAAGTTGCATTCTGTGTCTGGGAATATGATCCTCGACTGACAAATCTTGGCGGGTATAGATATCCTCTTTTTTTCAGCCCCCATATATCTATGTGGCGAGTGAGGGGCCTCATTCCACATGTGCGTTATTTTTGGGAAGTATTCTGCTAAAATGATCTCAAAATTGAGATTAACATGTGCAATGCCGCCCCTTGTGACAGGAAACTTAAGTATAATGTGTTTGTGAATTCCAAGGTTCCACCTGAGCATGAATTCTCTCTACAGCCTGTGATGCACATTTGTAGATTCATAATTCGTAATGTACAGCCGATTTTCCGGCATAGAATATTGAGCTGACCCGGGACTTAACAAGAGGCAACAAACCTGGTGATGATCAAGGCGCTAGTATGGGGTAATTTGCTCCACTTCCGATGAAATAGGGTACAGCTTCATGGGATTATTTCAAATGTTTGTATATGTAGGAGCTGTATCTAGTTCATTTTTACTTTTCATAATGTTAATAAACATTGGAATATTTGAATTAAGTAGATAATTAAATAATGATATACCCTGAGTTTTTTGCAGCTTCATTTTTGTAGCGCTAAACTCTGCGAGACGGAGTCATCTTGAATCGTCCACCGTGGATTGTACACGCCTAGTACATGAACGCACCCAACATTTTCATTCACATCAGGTCGGGCCATACAAAAGTCTCCCCGAGCGAGTCGTTCAATTAGAAGAAGCGAGTGGCGACCAAACTGTGCCCCATAGTAGAGATAGATCCACAGGGGGCCGCTGGGGGCCGTTCTTGGCAAGCTGTGTCTCACTGAGGGTTGGGCCATTTTTAGTCAGAGTGCAAGATCTCAGCAAGTTGTCAAGAGACGCAGTCCCGTCAAGCATCCATAGAATTGGAGTTGGTGCGTCTCTGTCAGCGCCGGCTTCTTAAAAGAAACCGCAGTTGAATACTTCGATGCGGTCTAAGACTCATCATACATAGCAGTGTCAAGTTCCAACTGTATAAAGCCCCAGAATAGTAGTTCTCTCATTTGCAGTAACCCATTTTTATCCTATATGTGCTAAGTATACGTGGACCCTGCCAAGAACTATGTGACCCATTAGCTAAAGAACTGACTATCACTTCTCTATCAAGCTTGGATCATTGTATCATGACCCACGTACCCATTTGGAGAACTTGTGTACATCTGTCGCCAAGAAAAATTCCTTAAGTGGGCTCTGGGGGCCAGTTTTCCGGTTATCTCTCCCTTTTGTAGCGCTATTTCAGATCACTTACACTCAGTCACCGTGTAAGAAAGGTATAAATACTTCCGTCTGAACCCAACTTGAATATATTCAAAACCATCAAGCATTCAATATCCTCTACAAATCTTCAATCATATTCCATCATGCGTGTCTCGGCTACTATACTCTCTGTCATCTTCGCAGCCTCCTCTGCTGTTGCTCTGGGGGACTATGAACTTAACCTGTGGGAAGGCGCGCACTGCGACGGTCGTAATGACGCCTCCTTGATTGCCAATACGCCCCAGGGCTGTACGAACCAGAATGTCGATTTCTATTCTTTCAATGGAAAGGGCGGTGGCTGGAACATTTACGTCTATGATCGCAAAGACTGCCAGGGCAGCTCTTATGGCGTGCCGACAAATGGTGACTGCGTGATGGCCGCTCAGTTTATAAGCCACCCGACTTTCAAGTCCTTTAAGGTCGGTTCTATCGATAACATGATAACATAATAATTTACTAATGTCTCGACTTATGTTAGATCGTTGCTCCTTGAGAATTTCGTCCTTAATGCATAGTATCTTTCTCGGGATATCAGAAGAAGGGTAGAATCGTCGGTTGTTGCTCGTGGTGTTTTTGATTGGGAGGCTGTTATACGATTCCAAAGAAATGATTTAAATAGTTGGCGAGGGGCCAAGAACAAAGAAAAGAACAAAGAAAATGAGGATAGGAGACAAAAATGCACAATCGCTTTAGTAAATAATTTACAATAGTAGACCCCGGAAGAAAATATCCTCTGATAGGCGTGCTCCATTTATGCTCCAGGGCTCACGATAGAAGCGCTTTTCTACTAGTATAAATCTGGTGCTTGAGCCCAACTTTGGTTTAGCGTCAACAAGGTCACTAAACTCAATAATATCTGCGTAGAAACATTATAGTTTTCTGTTCTAAATTCAACAACATATCGTGGAATTTTCACCATATCCCCCAGTCTTTACCATATCGGATTAAGTATTGAAGACAGTCTCATATTTTGCTTGCAGGCTAGCTTGAAATCATAAACCGAAGAAAATTTGTCGGCCAAAACATGCCAAAAAAACCGAACGCCAGGCAGTATAAACGCTTCAAAACTCGAAATCGTGAAAATGAAATATAAGAGATATGAGACAGCGAGGAATATCAATCTTTAGATTTTTTTCTTAATGCCACAAGTATTCAAATACTCTAAGCTGTCAGGTGATTTAACACATCGAGAGACACCTATGTTCCATTGCCCCAGAAGTAAGTCACAATGGTAAGATTAGATAATATTCAGACCTCAAATGGACCATAGTCACGGTATATCCATGGATATCGACACTTTTTATTAAGATATTAGCCCCGTTGTCCAATACTAGTACTTCTGCGGAGCTAGTCTCGAAGCTAGCTGAGTGGCAGCAAGCTCTGTATCTCTTGATAGTATAGCATTCAATAAATGCCTTCAAAGCTTATGCTATCGCTGTAAGGTATCGCATGGATGTTGCAACTTCTCTTTCCATCATCTATTGATGCCTGGTTTGAATATCGCCTGTCCCGTTCACTCAAGGGGCTGTTAAAATGCCGAGAGCACAAGTTATCTTGTATACCTGCGTGATATGAAAGTCGTATATGAAGATTTAACATCATGTACTAGTGTATCATAAAATCGCATTTCAATGACGCTAAAAGCTGAAGTTTCCACTTCCCAACAACCTTTTGAGACTGTGTCTCACATGGTGGGCTGGTCAAGCACAGCACGACAGCCCGCGATCGGATTAGTATATCAAGAGTAATGCGCTATTAATCTGGATTTGCGTTCTTGGCGGTATCGGTTTAATGGTGGAGGAAAATCCTAGGGATTCTCTTGGGGCCGGAATCGGGGGCCACGCCGGGCCATACCCAAGGGATAAATTTTATATGGCGGGGGCCACGCCTGGCACAGGGTAACTTTGCCGGGTGTTAGATATTTTGGCCCAGTTCTTTTGTTGCTGCCCCAATTGCGAAGTTTTAATGTTCAAACCGATGATCAAAGGAAATGTACAAACGAGCCTACAAGAAGTAAGCAATGGGCCCTTGTCTGCTGGAATGGCTTCTTTGCTACGATCTACTTACTATTTATTGTAAACTTAGCAATTTTCTCCAATCCTCTTCCCTCAACCATGCGGCCCCCTATTCTTGGCTGGTAATTGAAGAGGAAATAAGTGCGAACTGGGGCCATTCATCCTTGCTGGCATGAATCCTGGAGCTGGAGGCACTGAGGAAATATACTGGGACGTGTAGTGGTTTCTCTCGTGTTTCTAGGTATTTTTGATTGCTATATAGTCCAGTCCTTCCCCCAGTGATTGTTCAATATATTCAAAATTTGGGAATTTACTTGCACTTTGTGGTTTCTCGACTTCAGCCCAATAGAATGTGGTCCACGCCTGCATATCTGGTGATGCTTCTAGGAGCAGCGACCTGGCCTACCTATGCGTCTCCGGGAAAAGGTGACACTCATGCTGTAACTACAACATCGAGTGGCCATGCAGCATTGGCAACCAAAACCGAGTCAATGATTCTTGCACTTCAAGGCAAGGATGAATGGCTAGCGAATGGAAAGACCAAATGGCTCACGTACTTCGTCTCGGATGGCAAAGACCCTAACTGGTGTGACGGAGCCAATGCGAAGAAGAAACTCAAAAGCGGGGATGGTACCAACTTACCACCGAGTATTAATTACGACACCGATCCGGGCGATACCTTCTTGCAGGGCTGCAAGTATGACTCTAGTGGGTACACGTTCAAATGTGCACACTGGAGTGCCACATGCACTGTGAATAAGGGAAAAGACTCAGATGGATTTCCGGTGAATGGTAAGGATGTGAAGACTTGCGATGGTCTTCCCGTCAAGGAACTTGTTGTTTGTAAACAGGATGAGGGCTCTCCGGCCCTTCTAACCACTGCAACTGGCAGGAGCACCGCTACTGCATCCACGACGACAGCGACAGGTGTTACACAGCCAAAATATACGGCGGCCTGTATACAGGGCATGAGGAATGCGACGACATGGGCTGATTATAAAATGGCAGAATTTCTCAAAGATGAGTGAGTTACTTTCTGAGATGAATGAGAAATCATTATTTCAGACGAGCGGTATTCGCTAACAAATATAGGGCTGACTCTATTCCTGAGGACTACGAAGGCACATTTGTAGACTGGTTAGCATCCAAGGCAGATGGGATAGGGAAGTTTGAGTGTGATTTGTAGGTTTCTTTCAAGATCGCCTACTGTCCATAGCTTCTGTTTGCTAACCCTAAAAACAGCAATACAGCTGATAACAAGCCCTGTGTGCAAGATCTTGACCCCGAAATTTGCAAGAAAGGCTCAAATCCTCGGTACTACTATGCCCTATATTCAATTATCAACTTTCACACCTGGGTGACGGATATATCATCCGCCGTTCGAGATGCTAGAAACGAGTTTGCTGCAACATCGTCTCACATTACGGCTGATTTTATCCGAACAACACTCCCTGATGTAAGTCTTGGATTTATTCTGCAGTGCTAAAATGCCTCCTAATTTGCTTTGATTAGCCGAATATGACCTGGATCGCCGTTTTATTCGCCGGTCTCTTCGGGGCTTTGAGTGGATTATCTGCCGCGTGGATGGCGGCTGTTCCAGCCATGTCTAGTCTTCTTGTTACCAGCGGAGTGTCTGGTGCTGCTAGTGGGGCTAGCACTATTGGAAACGGTATTCATAATGGGTTGCTGTCAAGTGCCGAGGATGTGTATGTCTTCGAAAGACCCCGCGTGAAGTTCTATCTGACTTTGTTTAGGATTCAAAATGAGCTCAATGCACTCAATCATCTCCAGGACTTCACATCCCACCAGATGAACGCCATGCTTGATGCTATCACCTACTGGGGAAGAAATGTTACATTGGGAACCGTAAAGAACGATGTGAAAAATCATATATTCTATCAAAACGACGCGAAAGGCATCGTGTCGACATTGAAAGACGGCCTTTTTGCTGATGATGACGTGGGAACCAAGGACACATACGCTGTGAACAACGCTATGCTGAAGGCAATGTGGAGTGGCTCAATCGGCTTCCTGTGGCAATCGCAGAGGGTTTTTATCGTGAAGCTGTCCACCCGAATGGAAAACGACAAACATGTCCATCACCCCTGTAGTGATGACTTTCCTTTGAAGGCCTACCACAGATCATTGGTTCGTGTGTGTGAAGGGGATACGGCATATTTTTTCATCATCAAGGCCGATATTATACGGAGCAATTATGACTGGCCCGAGATTTACGGTGCTGATGATGATACTTTGGAACAATATTCCCTCGACCTATTGACGCTGGCAAAGGGGGCCGAGTGGACACAAAAGACTTTTGGATTTGGCGCCAACTTTGAGAATTCGACAAGTCAGGCGATCGCAGATGAATATCTCAACGCAAAGGACCCTGGCAAAGTCCCCAAAAATGTATTCATGAGCGTTCCGGTGTGCGATCTGGATTGGCTCAAAGACAATGGCCCTTACCCCTGGGGCGGGAAAATACACTATAATGGAGTGGAGGGGATGGGGGACGAGCTGGCAAGTTCAAGCAAACTTTCTTTGTGGAAATCGTTAAATGCTAACATTATTAACTCCTGTATAGAAAATGTTCAGGTATCTAGTTTCTCAAGGATGTGGCTCAATGGAGGTGGAAGTCAACGGCAAAACCCAGAAGTGGCCATATGCCGGTTTCAAGAAACACAGTGTGTCATTGAGGGATGGATAAGCAGCGGTAGTATTTAATATGGCATATGCTGATGGTTACGGAAAGGAGAGAGGTGATGAGAGGAAGTAGTCGAATGACAGAGGCGGGGAAAATAGAGCGAAGCTATGATGTTATCAAGACATGAAAGACTGTTGGCCTGTAGCTATTGCATGCTTGTATACCTGAGGCTACTGAAGCCTCAGGCATTAATATTTCAACAATAGGCGCACTTAATAGCAGGTATTTTGAAATAGCCTGAGCAGCATTTTAATGAGATACTCATTCCCGGATGTTTCTGGCTTCTCCTTGAAATCTGGAGCAAAAATGTATGAGTATGAATCGGGCACACCTGGGAACGCGATTGAAATTCGTTGGAGAATTTGAAGTTTGACGCGGCTTGACGAGAATTTTATATTTTGGATTCTTGAATCTGGTCTCGCCATTCATAGTAAACTACAGTGAAGTACTAACAAAGCCCTCGAGCCATCGTCACGGTTTTGGTGAGCCACGTGTAGTCAGTTGAAGTTGGTTCGGTTCCGACTCATATAATTCTTTGGACGCTACTAGAATTGCCAGTGTAATAAGTATTTCGAAAACAAGTCATTTTTGCAAGCTAGCTTGAAGTCATGAACCAAAGAAAATTCGTCCGCTAAAACAGGCCAGAAAACCGAAAACCAAGCAATATCAATGCTTCAAAACCTTTGGAACTCGAAATAGTCAAAATGAAATACTAGGACAAGACATATGAGATAGCAAGGAGTATCAATCCTTAGATTTTCTCCTCAAAGCCACAAGTATTCAAGTACTGTAAGTTGTCAAGTCAATCAACACCTCCGGAGAAAACCATGTTTCATTGCCCCAAGTCACAATGGTATGATCAGATAACTTCCAGACCACGAATGCACCACAGTATACATTGTCACCTTCCACTTGAGATGTTAGCTCCGTTGTCTAATACTTCTGCGGAGCTGGTCTCGGAGCTAGCTGAGTTGCAGCAAGCTCTGTATAATTTTGTTCAGTTTGTATTCTGATCCGCTTTCCATGAAGGATGAACAAAACCGGGAAGGCAAGCGTCGCAAGGGTAATGGCTACGATGAGAATGAACATGTTCTGAATCCCCATGCCGGTGATCCAAGAGCTAACTGGGAACCTAGCACACGCTGCGAGAAGGTTGCGCATAAAGACCACAGAGATAAGGGCGTCATTGAGAATCTAAATTTATTAGTTCTAGTTCCTTCTGAATGACCACGATAGCGTGAGAAGACTCGAGCTTACCAGGGGATAGCAGTCGGTCAAGTATGACAGGGCAACTTCGGAAGTAATCATGAATCCGAAGCCAAAAATCGCATTTCCAATCGCAAGGACGTACCAAGCCCAGGTCTACGATGAGTTATTAGACATATTAATCATTTGCGAAAGAGGGAGGGACAAAAAAGAGAATAAATACCTTGGAAAGTCCAATACCGTAAACGAGGGAACCGGCAGCAACACAGATAATGGCGGGGAAAAGTAGCCACAAACGCATCTCAGGCTCGAAGATACCCCCGTTTCGGCGAGCCTGCTTGATAACAAGCCAATCGCTCAGGAAAATGGTAACGAGCGCGGCAAATATGACACCAATGAAACCTCCAAGATTGAACAAACCAAGCTCATATGTTTTGAAGTTGTAAGGTGGATTGGGCAATGCTTCCTGTGCAGTCACTGTAGTGGCACCGAACCAAGCCTGCATCATGCCGTACTGGAAGGCCGTGAATAAAATAGCAGGGAACATGAAAGGAACAATAAACGGTTGGTAAAAGCTGCGGAGAACCGGTCCATCGGTCTTCGTCCACGGTGCCATGCGTTGCCAATACGATTTGCGAGGATAGGTCTGGGATTCCATAATTTGATGCGGGTCATAGTGAGTCTCGTTGCTGCCGTAGGATAAATTCCCACTGCTGATATCGGCCGAGGAGGTTTCATTGGCATCCGAGCTCTCGTATTTCTTTGAAATCTTCGAATACCCCACAGGTGATCGCGGCACATATTTGGATTCCTCGAAGGCGAAGATAACCAGGATCAGATTAACGCCCAGGCAGATGGCGGTAATCCACCAGACCCAGCGCCAGTTTATAGAGTTGACAATGAAACCGCCGGCGATGGGGCCGCCCAGTGCGCCTGAGACTCTGCATGAAGAGGAAGATACCGTTCATACGAGCGTGTTGGTGGACGAAGAACAGATCGACAATAGTAATCAACACAATAGCCTCGGCGGTTGAACCTCCGATACCAGAGAGCAATCCAACGAAGATCCATTCGCCACTGGTCGACAGTTTCGCATTCCAAATGGCGCTGATAAATTGAATAAGAGCGCTTATAAGATAAACGGGTCGTCGACCGAATTTATGCACACAGGGAACGAAGAGAATACATCCTAAAGCGAGGCCTGCGTATGAGGCACCGCCCGCCTGGCCTACGATTTTCATGCTGAATCCGAGGATTTTGACGTAAACAGGCTGCTGTAAGGGGGAGCTGATTTCAAGCAGGACGAAGGTGAACAGGACGTATGTAGAAGTCAGACCAAAGTTCACTGATTTTCTCAGCGTGGTCCAGTTCTAATGGCTTTGGTCAGCTCATAAGGTCACCTAGGGACGTGGTTGAAGTTTTTTTTGCCCTACCAATGGGTCATCGGGGTCATCTGAGGGTGTAGGGTTGAGAACGACTTGTTGATTGTCGCTTCCATTGCTAGTTTCTGTATCAAAGTCAGATACCTTACAAATGAGGGAGAGGGTGGACTTTGCAAGTGACATACGGTCATCCAGCATATGAGTCCCTGGCGGGAAATGGGTAGAGTCGTGTACGGACATAGTCGCGGTGGATATCCGCAAAGTGACTTAAGAAGAGAGTTTGGGAGAGGTGCCTGAAAATGCTATGCTTGAGTCGACTGACAGGTGGACCAATTTGACTCTTATAAACTGTGCGCGAAAAATGATCAGCAACTCATCGCAGAGATCTCATCTAGTCACGCATGGATTTCTATCATTAGATACAGCCGTCGACGTCATGGCTGTTTCATTATGCATAAATCTCACTGTCTTGGGGACTTGATATGAGTTGGTTTAGGGAGGAAAAGTTATTTACATGCACCAGTTGTTCACATCAAAGATTGGGAGTTCATTTCTTCCAAGTCTACCATTGGTTGTTCCTAAAAGGAACTAGCCCTATATAGTAGGCGAGTTGTACATGTAAGAAGCTTGTGCGGTGGCGGGGGCCAAAATGGCCTTCTCCGGCCATCAGCCCCAAAGAATCACCCTTGTGAGTGGACTCTGACGCCATGGTACAAGCTAGCATTTCGATCACATCTTTTATTCCTTGTAGAGTTAGTTGTTGTGGGGTCCATGTATATACACTAAACCCGTTCGTCTTTAGTGGCTTGTATTGCATCGTTTGATCACAAGTAGCAAACGCCAATTGATGCGCTATCCTGGTACCCTGCAAGATGTGTAGCATGGTTTGGTTTTGTCATGTTCACTATTCGAAAAAAAAAACCGGGGGAGTGGGCTCCGACCTTATGTGACCAGTCCGATTGTCAGTCTACAGCCTAACCGTATACCACGGGATAAAACGAATAGATTAGCTTCACAATTTCGCCAGGTGGATCTAGCTGGTGGTTCTTTAGTACTAAGCTTATATTGCACCGAGAAACGCGATTTCTACTGTAAAAAAAATACATAGCCGCCTCTCATTGCATAGAATGAACTGATAAAGTGACTTGAGTATCCACCATTCTTTGCGCGTCCTCGTTTCACCCTTCCATCATTAGGGATTATCGAATCCTACCATTATGGGGGCGAGAGAGATGATGATGAAAGATGAGTGGTGGATGAGACTAGTCGACACTGTTAAGAGCCTAGATATAGTGCTGTGCACCTAATTAAGCCCCGTATATGTAGTCTCTGTTGTCAGAAGCCTTATTCTCTCCAGAGCTAGGTACGCAATTTATTGAAAAATATGTTGACTTTCGACAAAATAGATGGGAGAATTAGATTGGTATTCCCTGATCGATTTACAGGACCTGCCGCCTGTTATAACCCTCCAAATACAGAGAAGCATGTTGAACGTGGCTCAGAGCGACGCCCGGCATTTTGTAGATTGAACTTTTCTGCTGATCCATAGGTAGCGGCAATCGAGTCTCACAGTCGGTGTAGACAAATATTGTTGTACCATCGAATGCACCACTAGGTGCTTTCCGTAGATTCTCAACAGAGTAAATATCTCTACCGCGCATGTCACCCACGCAGTGACTTTGATCCCATTTCTTGAAATTAATTCTTCCGCTGTAGGAGTAAATTATCAGTATTTTTTAGTACTTGTCGGCCCATTAGAATTCAAACAGGAAACATGAAAATAAAATTCACTACACAGTTCTTTTTAATAGGTACTCAAGACCAATATCCACACTCGTCCTTGTTTGAGTGACTTGCGATGAACAAGCCCTGGGCCCTCACACCGCATTCCACAAATAACCACAGCCACCAACCTCAGCCAGCTCTGCATTTCCATCTCAGCACCCCCAACACATCAGTTATTCAACACATTACAAATCGGAGGCGGACTAGGATTCGGCGCAGGCGCAGGCGCCGGCCCCGGAGCCGGGGCAGGCTTCAGATGCGGCGTGGGCGTCCCCCGATGATTACACACATACGCACTCTCGCACCACTTCCCATCATCAAGCTTATATACCCACATATAATGATACGAATAACACTTGAGCGGGACATTCATCTCAAACAAATGCCACGCGTCGCCCGCCGCCATGGGGTCCTTGATGTTCGGGTTGATGTGCACGGTAAACACGTCGCCGTTGGGCATGCGCGCCGACACGCCGCCCTGCTGCCCCCAGGGGTACGCACCCGTCCAGGGGACGTTGACCATCATTGTTGGTCTGTTGGTTTGGAGGCCTTGTCCTGTCCAGACGTCGCCCGGGTAGTAGATCATTTCGCGGGACGTGGAGCCGCCGTTAACGCCGAGGCCGATGCCGCAGTCGGCTAGGACGAGGTTTTCGTTTGGGGTTCGTTGGGCGGAGGATAGTTGGAGGAGGGAGAAGATTGTTGTGAGGAGGAGGAGGATGTCGCTTGGCTTGAAGGCGGCCATTTTGGGGCTTGATAGAGTCAACAGATTGAGTGATAGATTTGCCGTTCGAAGAGGGCTCGGCTTCTCTTTAACATTCATCGACCAGCGGCGGTGCAGAAATGAGAGACGGGATACCGGTGGAACAGTGAATGCCAAGCGACTTAGAGCGCATATTTTGACCAGAGGATCAAGCAAAGACGTTGCATACGCCCGAAATTGTTCAGCTCTCGTGTTTCTTCAGCCGTCTCTGCAAGCCATTATGGGCTGTTGTATCGGAGTATATACCGACTTTCTCAGCACAATGCTTGATTGCTGCAAGATCATGCCACTTCTGCTTAGACACTGGTAGCCCGAGTGCGAAGTGCGAAGTGCGCAGCGGGATCGCCGACGCGGCAGGGACGTAAGGGTCCAAGAAGCATGTAGGGCTCAATATCTGTCCTAGGGAAATGGCAGCTGAAACCAATCGCCCGGTCTCGACCACTTCTGGTTGGACCCTTGGCCGGGCAAAGCAAAGCCAATCTGCGATTACCTCTGCTGATCTAAGACCGTTATACAGAACGGGCAAAATAGCCCACGGGATTTAGGCCGGCCACGTCGCTAGGGCTGAAAGATCCCTGTCGAGTAAACGGCGAGTCGGCGACTTTAGTGGGGTCGGTGAGTCGAGAAGAGGAATAGAACGATTTAATATGCAGAATGACGTTTTGCCATGGATGTATCCGCGGCAGGGATGTTATAGTACAGTATCACCCTGCTTATATTAGCCAAATGTTTGTGGCGTCGCACGATACGACTGCGCTCGGATCCTCATCTATGCATTGAGACGCGCCCGACAATTCAGGTGAGGCTATGCTATTCCTCGTTCAAAGCACGGCAGGAGAAAATGTGGTTCAGCTGCGAAGTGCGATAGCGTGCTCTTTTTTTTCCCCTCTTGACATGCCACAATGCGAAGGATATATGAAAAGGCCGAGGACGGCTCCGGAATCGAGCATTCTATCCTTGAGTAGAGACAATCCTGACCCCCATTCATCGAAAGGGCAATTACCATAATGCTCGCTTTTAAACTTTCAAATCTACACCTCCTCCTCCCACTCCTGCTAGGAACCAGCCTAGCAGAAATCCTCACTCCCTTTGGCGACACGGCCAGCGACGGCGCCATAAAATTCCAGCCCGTCCTCGACTTCGACAAGGACAGCTGCTACCAGACCGCAGCCATCGGCACAGACTACAGAGTCAACGCTGGCATCGGCCCAAACCTCGCTCCACCGCGTCCGCCAGGTACGGGACCAGGGATTCCGCGAGCTGCCGGCGCCGATGACGAGCAAGTCGTCTTCGCTGCGAATGCGACCGACGCCGACAACGAGTTTGGATTTCGCTCCACGCACGGTCCCTACATCCCCTTTGGCTGCCGCGACAAGGACCGCCTGGAGCACAGCCAGACGTACGTCCGCGAGCGGTGCAACCACGGGTGGTGCGCGTACTTGTACGGATACTATTTCGAGGTCGACCAGGGCCCCGGGAACGCGCATAGGCATGACTGGGAGCATGTGATTGTCTGGACGCTCAACGACCAGGTGTTTTTCGTCAGTTGGTCCGCACACGGCGACTATACGACGCACCACTCGTCCACGGTCCGGTTCGAGGGCACGCACGCCAAGATCGTGTATCACCTGGGATCGGGCGGTACGCACTCGCTGCGGAAAGCCGAGGCCAAGGACGATGAGATTGAGAATGATATGGGGAGGTGGTGGCGGGCGCCGCTTGTTTCGCTGGAGAAGATGCACTGCGATTTTAATCGGAAGTTGTTGAATAATGAGTGGGGCAGTGCGCATAGTGATTTGAATAAGTTGGGGGAGAAGTTGGATAGGTGGATGCCCTGGGATGCGAGGAATAATGAAAAGTTTGACCCATGGGAGCCAAAGGTTCCGTCTTGGGCCAATAGGGGGTGATTTGGGGGTGGAATGTTGCTGAAAGGGGAGGAAGTTGCGAAGTGAATTAGGCTGGGTTTGCGTTTTCCAACTTACATGTTTGAGGTGGTATTACTTGGGAATGGACGGGTTTGTGGGCATAGGACAGCAAAATGAGAGCATCAATAAAATTTTATGGAGCCCTGAATCAAGTATCATTTGCTACTGCATTGGTACATAGCGTAGTAAAATAGTACTCCCGCTTTTCTAATTGATCTTGGCAATAACAACTATCATCCGTGTCCGTGGACACTCATCGCAAGCAGGTAAGCCTCGAGGAAAAAAAGCCCTGCCATGTGTCCTCGTATCAAATCGGAGCTTCCTTACTTCCAATGGTCTCGAGAAGGCTCCATTGGCAAATAAGCTGTTTCGGACTTTTCAGCCGAGATGATTGAGTTTGTCTGGAGCTGGTTACATGTACAGCATACCTTTGGGTTGCTCTTCATTCAGTCTCATCTCTCGTGACGAACATACTACAAGTAGGGGAGCTCTTCGGACTGACCTACTTGGCGCTCTACCTGGCACATTCTTCGAAGTTACTCAATAGGATCCGAGTCCGTGTAAGGCTTAGCATAGCAACGGTACGATTGCGAGTCGATACTTGAGGATTACAAGTGGTGCTTGAACGACGTCGGATCCAGCCGTCCTTCAGCAATACGCAATTCTACCCTTTGAGAACAAGGTACGTTCACCAACTGTTGAGCCACTAACAGTGGTCAATTAGCAACGCGTAACAGTGACCCTGACTCTAAGTGCCTATTGGCTTTCAGTCCTGAGGGCTAAGTTGGGAAAGGTGCTTCAAGACCGGATTCTACGTAGCCGAATGGTGAGATCGGATGACACGTTTTAGTCATGTCGGTCAACGAGAGCAAGCATAAGAACGAAAAAATCTAGTCTCAATCCCATGATATCGATTGGAATGCATTGGAGGAGCAATTACATTGGGAAATGCACGTGACTGAGAGGCACTGCGGCCCCACATTAGCTGTGAAAGAAGACTGCCCGCCTTCACTGATAACTTCATTCATTGCTTTCTCGAATTCAGGCCAGAACTGGATATCATCAAGAGACCAAGTCATTTTCCTAGAGAAATTGGAAATATCGCAAGGGCCTTCACACTAAGGGCCCAAAGGAAACTCCTGTCAATAAACAAAACGGGTTGACTGTTGACAATACGCAACACACCAGTTTTCCGCATTTATATGGTCACAGACCCCCTTTGAATTCACTTCGTACTTTTGTGGGCAAACATCATTCAGGTAATCGTGGTAGAGAATTAGCATAGCGTCAGTGCCATCGCATGCATCTCGTTTAAAGAGGTTGCCATTTCCCTAGGATGCAAGGGTAGACCGCACCGAGAGAAGAAAAGATATCAGCGCAACAGCATTGAGCATATTGATAATTTTGATCGGAGTTTAGGATATAAGGAATGGTAAATTATTAGAATTGGAGAGCGTGTTGAGGTTGTTTTGGCCCTAAAAGAGCGTGTCACGAGAATGTCAGCCTAGACTCGTTGTAGAAGAGCCGCCAAGTCACGGCTCGGCTGTGCGATTGGAGAGCCCCACCGGGTGAGTCGGGGGGTTTGATGCAGCTAAGCTTCAGCCCAGGGGTCTTTTGGATGAGATGATAATCCTACAAGTTTTCTCGCCCTTTGCTTGTATACACGGTCTCTGCACCCAAAACACAATAATGCATTGTAATATAACCTCGCCATGCCTCATGATTAGCTAAACATATTCTAGGGCAGAGAAAAATTTGAACAAAAAGTTGTAATGGTACACTTTTTATGAGATGGTCAATTTGGATTATTACAATACAGTTGCCAATTCACGTCAATCGATAGGTTCTCATTCAAGTTGTTGTGATTTTCCCTGGGTACGTAAGAAAATATTGTAGTTGACTAGTTGGTTCGGGAAGAAGTGTACTTGTCAAGTTTCTCAGGTCTGTTTAGAGTAGTGACTGCTGGTAGAATACGGAACATGATGTTGCCGCCATTCCGCATTCGGATAATCCTGTCTAGCACGCACGAGCCAAAGTAGTTAACGTTTACACTATATCAGATCTTGAATGAAAGAATACATATGATTCCAAGTTGAACGATGCAGTGGCAAATTCAAGATCACGAAGGCTTTGACAAGACCATCTCCACCGACTATTAATGTATTCATGACGTGCGATAGCTCATGGGACAATTCGGACAAGCCTGATTCGATGGTGAATGGGACTATAGTATCTCTCACTTTCGTATAAGGAAACCACGTTCTTTTATAGAGGATCAGTATGAGCCACACCAAGACTCCAATTCTAGAGTGAAATTTGAGCAAGGACTCGATTGAAAAACTAGTGGTGTGACTCACCTATTGTTGAGCCTATAGGGATGTCTCTCTTCTCTGAATCATCCCTGATATGGAGTGTGAATTGTCCGCAGCGGCTTTCTCGGCAGATTTTGCGTCTTGGTGTAGCTTGATTTCTGCCCACACAGTTGTCGCCAGATGCGAAAACGTCTGATGGGTGATTTCTGCTTTCTCCAGAAAGCCCCTGGACGCCATGTCATTCCCGGTCAAATCAAACAGTCGACATGAGTGAGGCCATTAGATCAATATGAATGAACAGTGCATCTAGGTCGTGATCGTCGGATATTCGATCTAACGAGGTTGATGGAGAGATACTTTTCGCGGTGGAGTCATTGGTCAACGAAGGTATGCTTTCCAGGTGAGACATCTGGTTGGCGGGTATAGACAGAGGAACATTGGTATGTAAAACTGAACCAGGGGACAAGGTTTTCTCTTGGAATAATGTAGATTTTCGATGGCTGGTCAGTGGGGGTCTTTTGAGATGATGCTAGGGCTGAGTGGGACGAGTGAGTGGTTGACAAGGGGAAGAGGTACTACTGGATGAGATGACTACCTAAGCTATTTGGGAAATATTTGCTGATACAGTCCGGTCAGGAAGGTATGACCTACCTAGTTAGGTACTAGTACGAGTTTTCAAGGTTTCAAAAGGGAAGGGGGAGGCTTATTTATCGCACCTTCCACCGGAAAGTACCAATCCAAAAGAGGAAATTGATACCAAATCTTGGCATCTATCCAGAGCATAACGAACGCAATGGTACCCGTGAAACTCGCAAAGAAATTCCTTCCTGGTAACTTTGTACTGGAAGGCTATATACTTGATGAAAATCCACACTTGATATAATACACTAAGTCGAGCACCACTATATACAATAAAAAAGGGAGATTGACGCGACAAGCTCCATCTGTATGATTTTCAGTCTGAAAATGGTTCTCGTTGGTAATTGTTTTACTTATGACAATGAGGTACCTACTCTTCGGATTAAACTTTACAGTGTCGGCAAAGGGACCTTAGTATTTAATCGAAAATTTGTGGGCAGCGAGGGAGAGTGGTTGTCGATTTGGAGAATTGAAAAAATTAGATCCAAAAATGGAGCATTATACTGTATTGTTCTGGCTAATTTGCCAGTATGAGAGTGCTAGATACAAAGTACAAAATCTCTCATCTTATCTCAAAATATCATCGTTAGATGGTTCAACCTGAGAACTAGAATATAAGAACCAAGTCTCAACCTGACATGGGCCTTTCTGATGTCGTAATCTAACCTCTTTATGTATATGCATAAGATACATGATAAACCTCCTGAAATTGAACCATTCCCAGGATAGCAGGCACCGGATAGTGTAGATTAAGCCCGGAACGCCATATCCCGCTTTGAGTTTGGAAAAACTGTGTTCACATCACACCCGTATCCGTGAGAAACTGCTTCGCTGGCCGTCACAGAGGTGATGAAGTCACTTTCTGAGTCTTCTGCATTACAGGCATTTACCCAGCTCTGGGAAATATCGCCTTGAGTGCTGCGCTTCCCTGAAAGGAAGCACAAATCATCACAATAAGCCCCCCCCCAACTTTGCCGCATGCTGCTTTGGTACCTTCGGTATTAAAACCTTTCTCAGTGGTGATTTCACCGCTACTATGCGTCGTTCGTTTGCGTTCACAATAAGCGGCGTAGTATTGAGTGGGGTCATCTTTTGTTGGATCGCACACAAGCTGGTAGTCACCCTGCACATTCGTGATTGTCCATTTTCCATCTAGGCAGTTGTCGTTGCACTCTAGATTTGAGTGGCAGTTGGTGCCGGCAGGGTATTTGGCCGCGAGAGAGGCGACAACGAAAAAGGAGATTGATGCGAGAAGCTTCATTTTGTATGATTTGAAGTCTGTAATAGATTGACATTAATCATTAATTTCTTTTTCGAGTACTGAAGGGCTTTGGAAGAAGCACCTACTATTTTGCTTTGACAAGGAAAGTTTTTGAGAAAATTCTTGGTATTAAGGAGAGCGCGTGGAGAGCCATGTGTATCCGGGCTGCCTTTATACACTTTTGTGGCCGTGGGGTGATCAGAATCGGGACTGTGGAGTGGATCGTGAGTGAATGCCAGCTGAACCTGCATGCCGATCTTCAATGATATTTTACCCCCTTAGCCATATCAATTTGTTACCTATTATGGGGTATTCTCCTTGGCATGAAGCACTGCTGTCTTAAACCCTTAAGTATTACTCCGTAGTGTTTAGATCACTGCACGGAGTACGGAGTACGGAGCACAATAATCTGGGTTAGAGATGTCTGTAGTGTTGAGGCAGTGTGGCCTACCAACCAGTTCATGGGGTCAAGGGTGAGTACTCCGTAGGTAGGACAAGGGGGCATATCTTTTCAATAGTTCCTCGATCTCCCGGGCTATCGAATCATCAAAACAACAATTATACACACCCTCTGGTCGCAGTTCCCTGCGACCCACAACCCCATTTCTATCTTAGTGGTAAGATCTAACAAAACGAAACAAGAGATTATGCAGGTTATTTGACATCAATTTGCTTTTGCTATACGCTGCAAAACCATACACTAGGATCGAAAATATGTACTAGATGTACTACAGCTAGAGTAAAAAGCGGGTCGCATCCGTACAGATCATCCTCGGAAAACCTCGGTGTCTCCCCCCACAAATTGATCAGCAGCGAACTGTGATCTACGGAGTACACACTCTGTACGGAGTAAACAAGTCAGTGTGAGTTCCTGCTCCTATGCATAGCCCCTTACTTACCTGATAGAATTATCCGGCTATAATTTTCCGAGATCGAGGTATTCTCCGATTAATTTTTCTGTGTACGTCACATTCCGAAGCCTTCTTATCGATCCTTCTGAGAAGAACCTTGGAATGAAATTGACCATGTTTCATCATCCCGATAGTTTACAGTTTATTTTTGAGGTTATAGCCAACCTTGCCATCATGATTCCTATTAGTGTGCGGCCACGTGGGCACTTACTAGTATCATTAATTCACAAGCTGTACGGAGTACAGAGTCAGTTCCCAGGAAGTGTGATTTTAACTTCCGACTATTGAAGTGCTACTGCAGGTCAAAAGTAGAGCGCCGCGCCGAGCTGAACTTTTAGGTGCGCTGTTTACATCCTTCAATAGTGTGTACTTTGTTTTCAGTCTTTGACCATAGCCATGTCTTAATTATTTCTTATTGTGGTTTTCTTCCCTTTGATTTGCTGTAATGATTGAGCAATGTCTAGCATAAATCCCACTCCTAGAATCCAGCAGCCCGCCTCTTCTTCTTCGCCTTAGACGTATTTTTTAGACTCTCGCGTGTCCCGAACGGTCCTGGTTCGATTTGAGTCATTGGCTCTTCATCAATGACCGTTTGACTGCTAGTCATCGGTAGCGAGGAAGTGAGGGCCATCACTGGCCAGCTGGGTTGACTTGCTCTTGCTCGGATCATGGGTGCGACGGGTGTAGGTGGGAGGGTTATTGGCAGGGCCGTTGTAGATGTAGATGTAGGTGTAGCTGCAGCTTCAACATCTGGCGCGGCTGATTTTGATCGAGATCGGGATCGCTTGCTTTGGCTTCGTGGGGTTCCTGGGCCGGACATTCGCTGGCTTTCTTCGTTTTCTAGCATTTGGGATGTTTTGTTCCATTCGTAGGTTGATGGGTCTGTGCCGGGCGTCCAGTGAGATAAGAGCATGGCTACGTTTCGGGGTTGACGTGGTTCTCGGAGGGTTGTGAATGCGGCCAGGTTGCTGTATAGTCGTTTTTGGTTGTCTTTCTTGGAAGGTTTCTCGGTCGAGGGCGCTGAGCTTGGGAGTACCTGGGAGCTAGGTAATATCTGACTGCTTGGTAATTCCCTCTGAGAGGAGAGTAATGAGATAGCAGTTCCCGAGGATGTCTTCGTTGGTTTCAGGGCAGGTTGGCGTTGGCTTGTCGATTCGATGGCCACGGCCCGGGCCGCCATGTCAGTTGGATTGGAAATCCGAACAAGGCGTGCTAGGCAGAGGTCGAGAGTTATCTGGCGAATCATTTTCTCTTTGAGAATTCGGGTTTGGTCGGGTATGCCTTGTTTTCCATGGGGAAGACTGGTCACCCAATCAGTAACAAGCTGTTCATATGTATCCAGGAAATCTAATCCGGAGCGGGCTCCGGAGTGGGCTCCCTGGGTTACATTGAGAACACCATGAAACAATTTCGAGAAATGTAGCGGTAAAACCATGAAGCTTCTCTGGGTTTCGGTATCCTGGAATCTCAGGGCAGTTGCGACTAGTCCGGCTAGATCCTCGGCGCCCTGGTCGATATCATCAAGTAGGGGGCGGCCGTCGCATAACTCGAGCAATGTTTCAGTGGTGTTCCACTCGGTAAGTGTACTCAGCGTATTGTTTTGCAGCCCCCTGGTCAACTGGGTGAGAGTGGGCCGTAGATTGAGCGATTCGGAATCACTCTTAGTTGTACCGGCTAGCAAATCGGCCACCGCAGCTTCGTATATAGTAGTCATGTCTAATGTCCACTGCGAATCGAATGAGGTGTCGCTCTTTCTTGAGAGCCTGTTCTGAATACCCGCGCGTGGGGGAGCGACGGTAGATTCATCCCAGTCATCGACAATAAATTTGTCAATATCATCGTCGTCTTTCATCTTCGAACGTAACTTAGGTAACTTCTTTCTCAGATGTAGGACATGGCTTTCATGGCTCTCCTCGGCGAGGTCATCATGCTCCTCGGTCTTTGCATCTGCGCTTCGAAATAGAGTTTCGTGCACGGCGAAGGTTGAGTCGGACCAGAATAATTTGACGAGAGTCATGTTGGTATTGTACTCTGTAATAGCTGGGTTGATGGGAGCGTAGCCAACTTGTCGGAAGACAAAGGTTGAATAGGGGGTGTGAGAAATTTCCCCGAGCGAAGATACCTCCATTGCGGATGGGATATCGAGCATGACAGAGTCAGGTGCAGAACCAGACTCTGTCTGTTCCTCGTTTACCACGGGGACTTGAAACGTCTGCACGAGCGTGGCGAGGCGGGAGTAAAGGACGATCTGTAGATGGTTCCCCATCTGCACACTACTAAGGCGTAATGTGAGGTCCTCAGGATCTCGGAAGTGACGCCAGGCCAGCCGGGCTCCCAGGGATGGCGTCTCTCCGCCTCTATTTGGCTGTGCATCGGCCATATCAAACCAGAGCAATCGAGTGGTCGTGAGGACGAAGAAATGTGATGTGTTTTGTGCACTTCTGAGTACATCCAGGACCCATTCTGACTGTAAAGACAGACCCAATTTAACCGGGTAAGCTCGAGTCTCATCTCCGATTATTGAAGAAACCATAACGCAACGACGATCAGAGACAAGGACCGTTGACACATCACCGACCCACTCGATCGATGCCCATCCATCATACTGAGGCCCGTTCGGATCCTGAAACTGATCCATCCAAGGCAGCGAGCCTCTCTTCAAACATTTCGCCGCAAATGCCGACTTCCGTTTTCGAGGGTGGCCCGTAATCTCCCAGATAGTCCAATAACCCTCCGTGTCGATGATGCCAAATTGACGAGGATACCAAGGGTTGAACGTAACATCAGCATGCGGCGCACCTCCAGTCTGCATGACTGATATTTCCAATACTGGATTTGCATCGAGCGGGGAATTCCGCCGTGGTACTGCAAACTCTGCAATATCGCTTTCGGGAACGTATGTCGGCACAGCTTCGCGACGGTATAAACGAGGGCGAAATATCACTGTTACGTCTGGTAACCGAGCGGCCATCCAGTGCGGTCTCTCCTCTAAGGATCGCGCAAAGCAGACTTGGAGGATTGGAGCTCCTCGTCTCGACCATTCGGCGTCGTCGTCGTCGTCGTCGCTGATACATGGGATACGCAGTGGGTGGTCGTCATCTAGTTGCACGTGATCTTCTTCCAGTACTCGGAACGTAATTATATTGCCGCATTCTCCGGTCACAGCAGCAGCAATAGCAACAGTCTGCCGAGCATTCAGATTCTCCAGAGCGGGATCGGCATATCCAAGATCGAGTAAGGTAGAGGCTTGAGGGTCGTAAGACTTGATCGTATTGGCGACTACTCTTGAAAACGCATCGTTCCGCACAGAGGACCAATCTGATGCCAGGTCAGGGAGAACTTTCGGAATCAGGCCCTGTCCTGAGGATGGTAGATGCTCGATAAAACGCTGACGTTGGACTGCGGCCAGTGGTGACGGGACTGTTGTTCGAGTCAACCCGGTATTTGAGATTAAGGAAGGCCGTGTAAATGAGCGAGCAAAGGACCAGGAATGTGTATCTGGCTGATATACAGCTCTTCCTGTGTGCCCATAGTGTAGAGCACTCTCGGAATGTTCATCCATGGGACCTTCTTGCCTTGCGCTGGCGCTTCGCAATATGCGCAAGGCCCCGCCAGGACATGTCGATGTGGAAAGTTGAAGTCCGGACCTGCAGGTGCAGAGCTAATCCCACAAGACAAAAGTCAAGGAAAGGACACCAGGTCCAAGTTGAAGAGATGCGCCTGGAATCGAAGTTGAAGTAGTTCAGCTTGAAGGTGAAGGTCGAGCCCGATTGGATTTTTTGAGATTGGATGTTTCTTATCGATAAGCCCGTTGCGGCGCAACCCAAACATCACTTCAACCTTAACATTAACATTGAACATCCCCACTTCAAACTTCTTCTCTCCATCGCATCGCGCGTAAAGACAAAGCCAACACTTTTTCTATCATATCCAACCCTGGCCCACACTATGGCCTCTACTTTCGACCCATCCCTCTCAACGAGCGGCATGCGCCCGCCCCTCGCCTCAGCAGATGCCCCCTCAATGGCCGACTCACTCCCCAGCATCAACTTCGGATTCGAAGATCTACGCAATCGCATGGCCCAGTTCACAGCCAAATTTGACGCCGTCATTGAACGCGGCCGCAAACAAGTCTTGGAAGAACGCAATCAGTTCCACATCAACCTCGCCGAACTACAAGGTACGATCGCCATGAATCTTGTTGTGTTATCTTTGTTTTCTCGACCACTAACTCAATATCACGATTGCAGAAGACGAACGAATGCGCCAACGCGACATCGAAATAATAAACCTGAAAACCCAAACCCACATCCAAACCCTATCCAAAGAATCCGCCGAAGCGGCCGAAATGCACGCAGCCATCTCGTCCATAACCGTCGAGCGCGACACGCGGCTTTCAAAACGCGACCGTCTGCGCCAGCAAATTGCCGAGACGCAGAAATCTATCGCCCAGCGCGTTGAGTCGCAAAAGGCGCACGCGAAACATCTCGATGCGCAATCTAGACTTAATAACCCCGAGCTGGACTTTTGGCAGGATTATCTTTGTTTAAGGATTGAGGGGGCCGGAAGGGAGGATCGGTTGAAGTTTGTTTATTCGCATCTTTCTGAGAAGGATTGGGAGGCGGAGGGTTGGTTTGAGTTGGGGACTGCGAGTCGGGATTATGAGGTTTTTCATTGTAGGCCTAAGTTGGATGCTGAGGCTTTGGAGCGGGAAGTCGATCTTGTTAATGAGGATCGGGATTTTGGGGCTTTTCTTAAGAGGATGAGGAAGCTTTTTGCTGAGACTATGAATTGAGTGAACGAAATGGGAATGGATGTGGATATGATCACTCTGGCGTTGGAAATATCCTTGATATGGAAATTTTCTGTATTCTATACACAGGATAATCGTTTTCATTATTGATCATCAACGCGTTGGTAAATAGCTTAGCCTTCCATTCAACCACCAGTAGCTTCCCGGTAGAAAGCAATGCTCCGATTCGCGCCCCCAGTCGCGAATCCCTCGGACCTATTCGCTTTGGGGAGCCACTTCGCGCTCCAGACAGCCTTTTCGGTCTCAGAGTGGGTGGCGACGCAAGCCTTGGTGTCGATTGACCAGACCTTGACCTTACCGTCGAATGAACTGGAGTAGAGTTAGGTTTTGCCTCTGATTGAAGATAATTGTCACACTCGGGTCACTAGTGCGGTCCACTCACCTGCTCAGTAGGTACTCGCCCGAATCGCTCCAAGAGAGAGACAAGATCCAGGCGCTATGGCCCGAAAGATTGGCAATCTGCAGACCGGAAGATGTGTCGTAGAGTACGATCACTTTGGAGTCTCCAGCCGCTGCGAGGATCTTTCCTCCTGGTGAGAAGGCGACGCTTCGGACAGGTTTGACCAGACCTGTGAGGCGTGTTAATTAGAACTAGCGCATGAATGAATGTTCGGAGTTGGAAATTGCAACGTACCAGACAAAGAAAATGGCATCCGGCCATCTTCAGTCTTGAAGATATAAACAGCTCCGTTTTCATGACCGCTGGCTATGAATTTTCCATCGGGGGACTGTGGTAGCAATGTCAGTAAGAGTAAAGCCCTGGAGTATCTTTGCAAAGCAAGGAAAGCAAATGCGGTAATAAAATAAGTAACCCACCAGGTCAATACATGTACCAAAGCTACCCTTAGTCTCATGGTCTCGTATTTGAGTGCCATTATCATTGAGATCCCACACCCGAACATGGCCGTCTTGAGAAACACCAGCCAGATACTGGCCATCTTCGGATAAGGCAATTGCCCAAGCATCCACGTTTGTGAGATTCGCTGCGGGGAGATGATATCAGTCATTGACCGGGGCCCATCACATAGAGGGGTAAAATTGACTCTATCTACCCACCTGAGACTACCTGGTCAGCCGACCAGTGCCCATCCTGGCAAGACCAGGCCTTGACCTCGCCGGCAAATCCAGCGCTAATGGCGCGCGTGCCCTTGGCGCCGGTAACGATGTGGTGGCAGCCCAGTGTGTGCGCGCCATCGAGAGACTGCACCAGTGGGAATTCCGTGTCGAGGGTCGAGTGGACTTTGATTGATGGAGCTCCTGATGCTGACAGGACTGACTTGTCTGTTACAGCTACGGAGAAGATGTCCACGGGGTGTGCTGACTTTGTTAGCTCGGCGCAGTTGTGTGCATTGGGAACCACCTACCATTATCGGCAGTGCCCCACGCCAGATATTGTCGTGACTGATTGGGTAATTAGCTATCAGGTATAACGGTGGGTTTTCTCTTTGCGGTTCAGATCAGATAGATCATAGTGCTCACCATTCTGCTTCCGAGTGGTTGTTCGGTCTATTTCTTGGTGGATGATGACGTTTGGTGGAGAGAAGCTGCAGTTCCGCCTTTGCGCCTGAGGCCTCTCCACATTAGCCACTCAGTAAACCAGTGGGGAACTCCAGGGTCACTTTGATAGTATTTGTATTAATATCTTATGTCTTCATATGCAGTGGTTTATTTAATTTGTTTTTATTTGTTTGGCCAATTGGACCAAATGTGTGCCCAGGTGGAATACATATATGCTATCACAGGTGAATCATTTTTTGCCGGGAATTCAGAATTCAAACGCCAGGCCATGCAGTGGATCGTAGCCACATCCCAATCCCAATTGTAGAAATACACTCAATGCTCTTGCATTTCTCTCCTTCTCCTCCATTCAAGCTTCAGCCAGCCCACAGGTGAGGTGAGGTGAGGTGAGGCTTTGTCGTGAAAAGACCAGCCTAGCTCGCTTCCGTCATGATCATTGTCGAGATCGATCGATTCGCCTTTATGCGGTGGTCTGCGCCGTCTTCCACGAATCCCTGATATCTAATAATTGGCAATTGGTTAGCATTATTGGGCCCGGACCAATTGGGTATTAACACGATCACCATGTGAGCCATCATATAGGTGATGTGATGGCTCAAAGGCTCTCCGGTTCTTCCGGAATGGACCGTACCTCTCACACAGTGAGGACACAACAAGTGGGCGCGTTTGACCTGACCGCAGCCTGGGCACTTGTTCAGAGACTGGACATCCTTCAGGGCCTTGCCGGCCATTTGACGGTGACGCTTCTTCATGTGGGAGGTCTTCTTCTTGGGGACGGCGCGGAGGACGGATTCCCAAAGATCGGCGAGGAGCGGGGGGATAGTGATGGAGATTGGGAGGGCGAAAGCGAAGGGGATAAAAGTAGGCGAGATGCGCAGGGGCGCCGGGGCGAAGAGACGCAGAGCCATGGTGAAGTGGTGGTGGTGAAGGCAATGATAATGTTTGATGGTGTTGACGGTGTTAATGTTGGAGTTGGAGAAAAAGACGGACACGCTAAACCCAACTAGGCAAGGGCCACCCCTGAGTTGATAGGGAAATAACATTCGACCTTAAGGGGTTCTCCATCTTCACCTGGGGAAATCGAAACTTGACCTCCTCTCTTTTCACTACCTCCACCTACTCCTTCATAATGGCCGCCGCTACTACTGCTGCTTCGGCTCAGCAGCCTACCGTTTTCCCTCACAGCCATGTCGGTTTCGACAGCATCACCTCTCAGATCGAGCGGAAGCTGTTGAAGCGTGGTTTCCAGTTCAATGTCATGTGTGTTGGTGAGTGAGAGGCCTACTGGGAGATTTGATGAAATCCATGAGATCAGATCAGATCAGATCTATTGCAATTCGTTCAACTAATACTAACACCCCCTGCTTCCAGGTCAAACCGGTCTGGGTAAATCCACCCTGGTCAACACCATCTTCGCATCCCACCTGATCGACTCCAAGGGTCGTCTCACCCCTCAAGAGCCCGTTCGTTCCACTACCGAGATCCAGACTGTTTCGCATAGTACGTGTGCCTGGGGGAATTGTCCAATTATACTATAAGATAATTGGACTGCGCATTGGAACACTTGCTGACCGGATATCCTAGTCATCGAGGAGAACGGTGTTCGCCTCCGTCTGAACATCGTCGACACACCCGGTTACGGTGACCAGGTGAACAATGACCGATGGTACGCGTCACCCGTCTTAGAACCAGACCATACAACCACAGCGGAATACACTTGCTAACACATCTCAGCTGGGACCCCATTGTCAAGTACATCAAGGACCAGCACTCGGCATACCTCCGCAAGGAGCTTACCGCGCAGCGTGAGCGTTATATCCAAGATACCCGTATCCACTGCTGCTTGTTCTTCATCCAGCCCTCCGGCCATGCGTGAGTTCCTCTTCCCCGCGAATTCATGCCTCCCCGCCAATATGCTCTGTGCTAATTGATTCTCCCGGAATTCAGTCTCAAGCCCATCGATATCGTCGTTCTCAAGAAGCTCTCTGACGTCGTCAACGTCGTCCCCGTTATCGCCAAGTCCGACTCCCTGACCCTTGAGGAGCGCCAGGCCTTCAAGGAGCGCATTAAGGAGGAGTTCTCCTTCCACAACCTCAAGATGTACCCCTACGATAATGACGAGCTCGATGATGAGGAGCGCTCTATCAACGCTCAAATTAAGGTAGAGATATAAGCCCCTCCCCCCGCCGCAACCAAGTTTCCCTTTCCCTTTCTGTTTCTGGTTCTGACAATTATACAGGAGATCATCCCCTTCTCCGTCGTCGGCAGTGAGAAGACCATCGTCGTCAACGGCAAGCAGGTCCGCGGTCGCCAGAACCGCTGGGGCGTGATCAACGTCGAGGACGAGACTCACTGCGAGTTCGTCTACCTCCGCAACTTCCTCACCCGCACCCACCTGCAGGACCTGGTCGAGACCACCAGCCAGATCCACTACGAGACCTTCCGCGCCAAGCAGCTGCTTGCTCTGAAGGAGAGCAGCGCCCAGGGCGGCCACTCTACCGGTGGCAGCCGACCCATCAGTCCCTCTGCGGACCGGGAGCTGAGCCGCAACTCTCAACGCGCTGCCATGAACGGCTACTAGATTGACTCGGCATGAGCTGAGCTCCTCTTGAATGGCGTTGCGTTACGGTCCTTCTCAGCCATAGCGAAAGCGTGCGCGCCGTCGCCGCCCTGATGCGCCAACGATATCAAACCAATTCCTCAGCTCGGCCAGGCTCGCTATCGCTCTCACTCTCCCACCACCTCCGAAAACTTCCTGTCCCTTTCGACGCCAGCAGGCCCTTGCAGATATCCCCCCTTTTTTTTTACTTTTCTCTTTTCTTTGCGTGTTTCCGCCTCCGATATTCTGTATCCACAGCACGGTCACCCCGTTTATTATCTAGGATTTTTTTGTCTTGTCGGGGATAACCAGAGTCTGGCAACCAGCGCTGAACATTCACATTCGGTATCTGGTTTTTTCCATGTACTTAGTTTCCTTAATTATCCCTCATGAGAGATTTGTCATTCTTGGCTTGAGGCTGATGCTATGCTGAGGTCTAGTTTTGTATTTGCAAAATGATGGGAGGGTGTGGTATATGGGTTTCTATGTGAGAGCAGGCATGTCCAGCTTTACATTGGGGTTAATAATATTCTCATTCCGGCTTCCAGTCCAACCCAACTTCCATCCATTACATCTTGGTAGTTGCAGCTGGATACCTGGTAGCTAGCATCTATACACTTAACAAATCGCAAAAAATGACGAATCCCACCAGCCCTAAGCTCGACCTCAACTAGTCCAGCCCATCTCTATACGGTACTGGGTAGGCTAAGCCCCAAACCGCCCCCCATCAACAATAAACTCCTTCAACTCCGCATAAGCCTGCTCAATCTCATCATTAACAATAACCCGATCATGAGCCCCCGTCTCCGCATACTCCATCTCATTCCTAGCCTGCTTCAGCCTCTGCTGCAAACTATCCTCCGTCTCCGTATTCCTCCCCCTCAACCTGCGCTCCAGCTCCTCCATACTCGGCGGCGCGAGAAACACGAACCGCGCATTCAGATCCTCCCGCTGCTTCACCTGCTTCACACCTTCCATCTCGATGTCCAGGATGCAAATGCGTTCTTGCTCCGCGACGGTCTTGATCGCGGCGACGGATGTACCGTACAGGTTACTTCCGAACTGGGCGTTTTCGATGAAGCCGTTTTCTGCGATTAGGGAGTTGAAGGCGTCGCGCGTGACGAAATTGTAGTCTTTTCCGTTTGTTTCGCCGGGGCGTGGGGCGCGGGTTGTGTGTGAGACGCTGAAGCCGAATTTTGTGGGGTATTCGGCGAAGAGGCGTTTTAGGAGGGTGGATTTGCCGGTGCCACTTGGGCCGGAGATTACCACTGGGCGGAAGTTTTGGACTGGGTTTGGTGTTAGGTTGGTTTGTTTGGGGTGGGGTTGTGGTTTTGGTTGTTGGTAGGTTGCGGAGGAGTGGGGTGGTGGTGGAAGTGAAGATGAAGACATACCGGCGCTGGACATTTTATGTGCAGAGCGGGTTGCGCTGAAAGATGTTGAGAAAGAAGGGAGAGCGCGCGCGAAAGTGAAATGATGCATGGATGAATTGGGATGAGTCGAAGTTTCCCACAATTTACGAAAACGTCCGGCAGAATTGGGCGGTCAGTACATCGGTCTTAGCTCCGAGTCTATAGTTTGTGTAGGAGGTTGTGTAGTAGTGTAGTAATTGTAGTTGTCTGAATAATTGTTGGACCTCCTCTCTTTGAAAGCTCTATACATGAATATGGAAACATGGGATGATGCAGTCTCACTTTACTGGGACGGGCCTGGGTGACTTCCTCGTCGCATTGCGCTTATCTTGCCAACCTCGGCTTCCTGTTCTAGGAAGTTGGACCATAATTCGGCGAGGGTTTCTTTGCTTGATGCGCCGTTGTCCATGAATTCGGTGGCTAGATTTGGCGTGCTGGGGGTGCGGAGGGGTGTGCCTGGTACTCTAAGTTTGCCAGTACTTGAAGTACCGGGTCGTGCAAGGCCGGCCTGTTCTCGTTGTTCTAAAGGGTATATTAGCAGGGGTTCATATACAAAGGGGATAAGAGGGTATAAGGGCGGAACTCACCATCATCCCAGCCTAGAAGGGCTGCGATAAGCTGGAGGATTTGGAACTTCTTTGGGTCTGATCGATCCAGCGCAAGGAAATGTAGGAAATGGTTGGTTACAATATGACTGGTGTCAAATGTTAGCATATTCATTGCCTGGTGTGTACGGGCAAACATACCGATCCACATTATCCTCCGGCTTTCCCTTCTTCAAGAAGCGTAGCGCCTTTGTCAAATGGTCATTCAAAGTAACAGCCTCATGCCGAAGTTTTCCGATAAGAAGGTTCTTCTCCTTGACTTCCTTTTCAAAAGGTCGTGCCCGCTCAAGCTCCTCCTGCGCCGCTTGGAGATTCTTATCTGCATCACCAGCTTGCTGCTGCGCCTCGCGTAGAGATCGTCTCAGCTCCTCGAGCTGGGAGTCGGAGCTCTCAACAAGTTCTCTGAGTTCCTGCTTCCGGGCTGTTTGGATCTCTTGCAGCGCTCGCTGCAGACCGTCAACCGTAGATTGCTGGCTGTCGCGATCACCAGCGGCTTTCTCATAAGCCTCTCGAAGATTGCTCAATTGCTCTTCGAGATCTGCGACCTTCTCTCCCATGTTTTCGCGGATGGATCGTTCTTCCATGGCGAGGACTTCCCAGTTGTGCATGGCTTCCTTTGCCTGCTCGAATTCGGATTGAAGATATGACTCCTGCTCTACCAGCTCGTCTCTCTCCTTGAGCCAGTTCTGCTGGGACAGTGTCGATCGGTCCCGTAGCGTAGCGATCTCCTTTGACTTCTCGGCTGATTCTTCGGATAGTCCGACTAATTCTGTGGACTTGGATTCGAGCTGTGACTTCAGGGCTGCGTTTTCGTCTTCTAGGTCTTCGATCTGGGACCGCGCGTTGGCTAATTCTTCCTGTGGGAGGTATCAGTAAAGGTTCACGACGCTATCATTATCAGTATCTGGAGTACTTACCTCGTCCTCTTTGAGTCGTTGGCCGAGCTGTGACTTGATCGCATTGACTCGCTCCATAAGCTTCTGGAATTGCGTTTCTGCCTGCTCCTTCTTTGTCTCGGTGTCTTCCAATTTCTCCTGCAGCGCCTCCATGTCCGCTTTGTGTTTCGACTGGATCTCCTCTAGTGATTTCCGCATATCGGTGACTTCGGCACGGAGTGAGTCTCGGTCTCGTACCAGGGCGTCAAAGCGGTCTTTCGGTTCGGGCTCGGATTCGGCATCGTTCGATGCGGGGTGTCTAGTCTCTCGGATTGGAATATCGGTGTGGTCCTGGTCATCGGCGGGTTGGCTTTGGCTTGGAACGCTGCTATCGGCTGTATTGGGTCTGTTGTCGCCGTCGCCGGTGGAATTCGTCACATCGTCGTCCGCGGCGTCAGTGTCGGGGTTGTCCTAGGACGTTTCAGCAGGGGGGGTAACAATGGCGGCTGGTAGAAATCCAGTACTTACGTGAGTGTCATTATCTTGGGTCGCCGCATTATCAAGCCCCTGATCCTCGCCAATGTGTTGGGCATTATTGGCCTTTGCCTTTGCGCCCTTCTTCTTGTTCTTCTTGGATTTCGCGCCTGTGACCGGTGGGGGCGGGGTCAGTGATAGAACTCAGGGGGCAGGGGGTATTCAGGTGAATATACCTTGAACAGCAGACGGGGGATTGTCTTCGGGCATGGTGTGTCGAAGTTAAGGAGGAGGGGGTGGGGGGGAGGAACAGAGATGTATCCGATGGGATCTCTGGAAGCTGTCAACATCTCCGCTAGCGTGGCTGGCCCTTCCGCCCTAGCGGGATTGCTCTCCACAAATATACTCCGAGTCTTAGCAGTTAATTACTCCCTCAATTATGATTCAATTATTTTACTACTGGTCATATCTTCATTTGCTTGTCCAGATTCACCTATATACCTACAAAATGAACGATATTCACATAAAATCATCCAGGAAATCCTCTCCACGATCCTGGTTACTGCTATTCATCATAGCCTCATCACTAAACATATCATCATAAGCATGATCCTTCTGCCACTTCAACTGCTCCCGCTCCCTCCTCTCTAGCTTCTCCCTCTCCAATCGCTGATCGCGCGACTTGCGCTCGCTATTGCGCTTCTTCTTCGCCGCCTCCTCCTTCTCGGTGCGGAGGTCGGGGAACTTCTCGACTCGGGTTTTGTTCAGTCGGTTGACGATCGCGTTCTCGCGCTCTCGGACTAGGATCTTGCGCACTAGCTTTTGGTTGTGGAAGGAGACTTGGCCTGTGGCCATTGAGCCGTCCTTTTTGAGATTGGACCATGGCGTGTAGATGATTGTGATGTTGTCTTTTTTATTTCCTGTGTATGCTTGTTAGTCTCCAAGATTCTTTGAGTCCCCGATTGCCTTGAGGGGTTTTCTTTTTCTTTTTCCCCAAGCGGCAGCACCAGGCAGGTTTCATCCACACTAACCCTCGATCGAATTGGCCTTTGTGAGCTGCGCGCAGTCTTCTAGAAGTGGGCCTTCAATATTATCCCATGTTTCTCCTTCGCGTAGGCGGACGTAGACGTGGGCACTCGATAGGTTGTCAACGTGGAACTATGGAGGGACATGGCATTAGAGCGGTTGGCGCGCAATGTGTTTGTTCGAGGGTAGGATACCAACCCTGTTTCGGAATGCGGTTAGTATGTATTCCTGATCAAGCGCGAGACTGCTGAGTCTAAAGGCATTCATTCACATACCAAACATCCTCGTCCAAACCGTAGCTGATCAGGTCCTCGTCTAATCAAGCAAAGCCGTTAGGAGTGTTCAATGTTCAATGTTGCCTTCCCGCGGGGCTAGTTGGAGATTCAATAGCATACTCTCGAACTTGTCCTTGCCGACGTATATGAATGCGGAAGGGGAGACCACGTTGGATGTGAAGTAGTAGACCATGGCGAAGGATCCCGTAGGGGTAGAGGACAGCGAGGGAATTGGCTCTCGGCGCAGTTGAGTTCGTTCAAGATGTTCTTGGTGGGGAATTCTTGCGGGAAAGATTTATATGATTAGTCAGCGAGTCAGCAGCGAGACTTGAGTCAACTATGTTTACTACAACGGTAGCTATACTAGCTCATTATAGTTGTAGTAAGGGATAGTCATGTGTTAATTGTCAAATTATCACTCTGTGTTTATGTACATCTTCTGGAATGGGATTACCTGCCTACTCGAGAAGGTTACTACACGTAGGGATGCTAGGTATGAAGGACATTGAGACAACATGCAATTGAATGTTCAGGTATAAAATGAATAGCTAAGGCGATATATCCAAGACTTGCCTAGGTAGACACGCTTGAAGTTATGAGTTATTCTAGCTATTTAGGTAGTAAGGTAATATACTCTATGCCCGTACCTCTCATCGGGCAATGTATGGAGCCCCCGATTATTGAGAACTACCCGAGGTACAAGCAGAGTCTCAGGCTGAATGCTCAAGTTAAACATACAAGTTGTCCTATGGCTATTCCCTACCTTGGTATATATAGTCATGGTAGTAGAATGTTGTGCTGTAAACTCGGAAAAGCCGGATCCATATAAGTACTACGAGTACTAGTACTAGTATAAAACTACCCACCTACCGTATTCACATCCTGGAATAATGAAATATTTATGTACCAAGTTGTGCTAGTCGTCCAGACATACATATTAATCAAGCATACATGTAGCACAGCACCAACACAAGCTAGCTCGTTCGTCTCGGCCGAAGATTACCCGCTTCCTCCCCGAGCATCCCTCGGCTCTCGCCTCCCAGCTTGTGTCACCAATTGCCTCGTGAGTGTCTCCAAAATAGAAAAGAAAAAGAAAAAGAAAAACCAAACACACGCTAGCATCGAGTGGAACGTGGCTCCTCGGCCCTCGTTCCGGAACCATAACCACCGCTCCACGCATTTTTAAAGTTATGGTGGAGCTGCCACAAGCTCAGACCCTCCTTTAGGGCTTTGGGGCTTCCAGGATTCTGAAACGAAGCACCCCCTTAAAACCAATGAAAATAAAAAAAATAAAAAATAAATAAAAAATAAGAAAAGTCAAAACGAAACGAAGCGAAGGGGAAAATCGCAAAAAATCAAGTTACTCGTGCTCGGCAGAGACGTGGAGAGAAGAACTTTCATTCCGGCGCAATGTCCCTATCTGGGTATCTGGGCGCTGTGCCGATGCTAAAAGGTCTTTTTTTGACTTTGCTCCACCACTTCCCTGAGCCTCTGCTGGCCGCGTGGATGCTTCCGAGATGGTTACTCTCTACGCAATATGGACGGAGTACCTACGGAGTACTCTGACGGACTTTTCGGATGTATCTTTTTTTTTCCCGGTTTTTTCGGCTAGGGGTTGAGATGGATCTTCTCCGATCACACTCCCGTCTTCCTGCAGGATAAAAATCAGGATCGTCCTGATGATCTTGTGTTTCCTGGTCTGTTTCAAAATGTCTCGCTGGGTATAGATGCGCGCAGTGATGGAGCCGCTTGGATGCGAGTCATGAGAAGTGGGAGCCCTGTTAGCAGGGGAGCACTCCCCTGCTACAACCCCTGCTAGTTGGCGAGCACGGCCACCGTACTGCGCGTATTCGTCTCCGGAAATGAGAGCATCGGAAAGTTGACGCAATATTGCCTACTCTCACTCCACAGGACAGGTGGAATGTAGGACCTCCTGTCCGGCCGGCAGACGGCAAGTCGAAACCCACTTAGATCCATGGCTTCCGAATTGCCGAGCTAATCTTTGAAAGTGTGAGAGAGCTTCTCCGCCCGACTCAGGTACGGAGTACACATGGGTACATACATGGGGCCCGCAAAAAAAAAAAAACACACACAACAGGCTTTGCCTCCCATCGACGATCCCGGTGGGAAGGGCCAGACGAACCACATCGTACCGGATGTACAAGGCTACATAACCCGGAACCAGGATATTTCCAAGCAGAAAACGATGATTCGCAGCAGTGAAAATGGGGTGGGAATGAGAGAGACCAACCGCAATCATTGAAGGAGCCTCAACAAAGCAAGTCAGAACGGTCCCCTCCCCTCCCATCCATCCCTCCCCGGCCGGTGGGCCCTATAGAATCCCCACTCGTCTGATGCACCGGACTTGTTGGACCTTCTGGGGGGGAGGGGCAACCACTGGAGGGACCACTAGAGGGGCTGGGGTACTACATGCATCCAGCCGTTCCCACAGGCGAGTCGGATTGGCCGCGCCGCTAATCTAATGGCTTTTTAGCGATATGTCCGACCCTTGAACCCTATAACATTTCAACGAATCACAGACTCCACCGACGTGGTCTCGCCTCGATCCTCCCCAGCTAGTTCGATCCTAGCCGGAGCATGTCATTTTCTGGCCCGAAAAAACCGTTACGCCAAGGGCCCTTGTGCTAACCATTAACGCTTCCACCGCGCGGGCGAGCCCGTCCATGGCAAACCACACCCCCACCACGTTGGCTCTTTTTCTTAATTGCAGGTGGCCCCAGTCCACCAGGATGTGTGCATCGTGTTCTTCCTAATTTGCTTCCGGACCTTTTGGTCTGTTCTGTTTTGCTCTGCTCTGCTCTACCTTTGTCTAACTCGGACTTCCCGTCTTCTTGATATACGTACTTGGTAATTGGTATGCTTCCGCATTGATGCTTTTTCCACTTCCTTACCTTAATTTGTCGGGATGAAGACCGGATTGTACCTGTCCTTGTACAACGGGGCCTGGTTAAAATAAATCCTATTCTCCTGCTGGTCTTTTCCACCCGGGTATTACACTTGGTATCTCGGAGCTACTGGGCTGGGTCCCTCCCCCCCCCCCTTCCCTTGCTCCACTTCGGCTCCGTTTTATAATTGAAAAGACTCGGATTTCCGTCTGGTCGCATGCAGAATTTATTTTTCCCGTGAAGACGTTTTCTTCCTCAAATTCAGCCCTTCGGGCGCCCTCTTCAATCCGCTGCGACCCGGTCTGCGGCAAACTTTCGCTTTCTTCCACCTACAACTTACAACTTGAACGCGTTGATACCCTTGAAGTCTTGAGGTTGAGAATACAATACAACAACTTGAAACCGAGAAGCCCTGGGAAGAATAAAGCAACTACGCATTCTTTCTTATTATTCGCACATACTGCACAACACAACCTATTCCACCACCACTTCCTCCTTTCCTTTCCTCTTCAAGTTACCTCGCCATGTCCAAAGACCCAACAGCCATCCGACAAGCGCTAGAACGCGCGCGGAATTGCGAAGATGGCTCAGTAGACGCGCAAACAACCGCCCTCCTCGAAGCAGCCATTACAGAACTATGGACGAGAATCCAGCGCGATCCGGATACCTACGTCCTCACGCGAGATGAGTTCGCCCTATTCAACTACTTCCTCGAACGATACCGCGGCTCAACCGTCGCTCAACAAGCCGTCGCGCGCTTTTGGAATTCTTACGGTTCCCCGAATGCAGACTTGAAATAATTCACCGGCTCTGGTGGTGGTCCAGTCCGGTCCGGTGCGTGTCTGTCTGTCTGTCTGTGTGGCTCTTTTCGCTTCGTTTTTTTTTGGTCGCATTTCGCTTGGGCTGCGTATGTGAAGTGGATGCCGGTCCGGCGTGAATCATGCAGATGCAGCGGCACCGACCACGCACCTGTGCCATATCCATGCGTACTGTGTTATGTATGGACTCTCGAGGCGGTCGAGAGATGACGACGATGATCAGACTGCATTTGCGTCTGCGTCTGCGTCTGCGTCTGCGTCTGCATTTTGGCGGTTGGCGCACAACGGCGAATCGCGAATCGGATCAAATCGCGAGGGAAGAATTGGACTGGTTGTCCTTGCTACACCCCTCAAGTTCGCATGGGCGAAATATCGATACAAACTACAATTACATACGTTTTCTCTCCCGCCCTTCTTCGTCACCGGGCTCGGATAAATGGGGTGGGGGGAGAAAATTCATCGACGGCGTTGAATCGGACGGTTTGGTTTCATGGGAAGCGCTTTGCTTTACTTTGCTTTGTGGGGGAGTTTTTTTAAAAAGGAAATTTGGGATTTGCGGGGGAGGGGGGGGAAACTTGGAAGAGAATGAAAGAAAGAACTTGAAGTCTAATCCAACTTGAGCCCATGTTGGCGCAGCCTCGCCCTCGAGACTTTACCGATCCCCCCCATCAAATCACCGATCCCAGCAAAAGTGGGGATAGAATACAAATTGTATGGCCGTTACGTTCTGCTTTCTTTTTCTGCCGGGCAGCAGGATGGGCAGGACTGGATAGGGTGCAGTTTGACATCCCTGTCACTTATCGGGAACACATGCGTTGGGTTCCCAAGGGCAGGGCATCTCCGCATATTTCTGGAGTGGAGGGATCTAATCGAATTCAAATTGTTGCTTTTGTTCCTTGGAAGTTGCTGGGGAGAGGCGGGGAGGGGACAGCTCAGCTTGTTATGTCTCTTGTCTGTTTTTTTTTCTCAATTCTTGGTCCCCTTCCCTGTCGAGACGAGAGGAGACGGAGGGCATACATGTGTACAAATATCCATCCATCCATACTTACATATACCTACTACTACTACTAGTTGACTGGCGTCTAGCTGGGGAGTATCATGATTCATGAATCATATGATACGGAGCACGGGTGGAAATTTCCGCCAACAAGAAATTAATTAACCTTTCAAACCTTGGAAGACAGATATAAATATAATCCTTGCTGGAATAGAGTCTCGGCATAAGTCTTTCGCCGCTATCTATATTTATAAACTTGATCTCGACTTTCCAGTGAAATGCCCAGGTGCCAATGGTTATAAGCCGGAGAGCCGCGGTGACATCGTGGAGTGTGCCAGTGCTGTACATAGCGTGGTACTAGGTATTACTAGTGCTAATCCATCAGGAATTCTCCGACTGGTTCTGTGCCTCAGCTAAAATTGGGGCTGTCGGTTAGTGAGCTGCTAGCTGTTATCGTCTAGGGTAGGGTATTAATTAACGGGGAGAACTAGAGACCAGTTGGGCCGGTGGTGTGATTGATATATGGTTTCGCCGGAGTTGAATCACTTGATGCTACATTCATAGCCGGGTCCGCGGGTTAGATTATGTCGAGTCACGGTCGATCTCAGTGTCAAGAGGGCGGCTCTGCAGGGTACCCGTGGATAGCATCATGATCACGATCACGACCACGATCACGACCGGTGAAGGTGTCCTTTCTCATTCGGTTGGCCTGCCAAGACACGGTGCTGCAGTTCTTACGAGGTGCAGGCAGACAAGACGGTGAGAGAAGAGTGCGTATACCACTGCCCTATCCTACCCTACCCTACCCTACAGTCTGCGGGTTGATGTACAAGGCTTACCTGACCGACTTCATTCAAATCCCGGCCCTGCATGATTTCTACAAGTGGGTCTTGGGCTTGATCCTTGTGCATTAATATTAATATTAACTTTAGCATTGATTCGGGCCCAAGCCCGGTGACAGTGTATTGTTGTTACTGCTTGCTTCTACTTACATCCAAAAGAAAGTGGGGAGGAGACTGGGTTGTAAAAGCAAGATTAAGATAGCGTGACGTTCAGGAACAAGGTCGAGGTCGAAGTCGAGTTCCAGCAAAGTTTCTCTGCAGACTGCAGTCTAGTAAATCGAATTGTCTTCACAAGAAAAGCTCTCACCTCCAATCCCTTCATACAAATTGCGAACAATGGACCGAATGGAAGAATATAGGCCAATCACACACTAGAATAGTAATAAGGTCAGTATGATTGCCCATCTTCATCTCTCGAAATCTGGATCTTTCACGGGAGAATGGGAAGGGATATCAGTGGACCAGGAAGAACTCACAAAGACGAACCCCAAACCCACCAAAGAAACGTTAAACCAATACAAAGCTCTCTCTTTCCACCTCATAGCGGCAACAGCTGGGGCCCGATTTATTCGATTCAAATATAACCCAAAGAAACCCGGTAAACTGAAAGAAAACCAGCTGGCGAATAAGGAACTCTGGGAAAACCAATCAGAAACGAAACTCGATTTCAACCGCACTGACCCAGTCCATACCGCAAGACCGAGCACGTCGTTGAAAATTGGAATCCCTTCTGCAATCAGCCACGATACAATCCAAATCACAGCGCATATGCCGGCCCACGCGGCCCGAGCCGTGAACGACCGGGTATGCATTGAATTTGTACCTCGGAAGATGCGGACGTAGATAAATTTGACTGCGACGTGGGCGTTTACGACGCCTCCGATTACGATCTGAGGTGGGAGAAAATTAGCAAGTAGGTTTCGGGTATTGATGAAAAGCAAATTAAAGAGAAGTAAATACACGTACCGTCGGAATCGCAATACCATACGAGATCTTGCGGAACAGTATACCTGCGGAATTCAAAGCGGGCGAGGTAACGGACGGTCCAACATAGAGAAATATCACAATGGCGGAAATCGTATACATGACCATTTCGCACAGTTGAAGGAGGGAAAGGGCCTTGGGGAAATCTTTTATATCTTTGAGTTCCGAGAAAAGAGTGAAGAACGCGACATGGCCTGCATAAGCGAAGATGATATTTGCGATTGCGAGACAAGCGTCGTGGACAGTCGGTGCCGGGGACGAAAATAGCGTGATAGGACTGGCGGCCATTTTGCTTGCGGAGACGCCGATCATATCTGTTAATACTGCGCCGATGATGCTGATGAAACTCACGGTTGAGAGGTGGGAGAGGCGCTCCAGGCGGCGGGGGAGAGTTAGTAGGAATGAAATTAAGAGGCCCATTGATGAGTAGAGCATTGTGCAGGCTGAGTGGTCGCTGAGGACGTTCATCATGATTGAGAAGGTTAGGATGTGGCTTCCCATTACGAAGATGAAGAAGACTAGTTGGCCGAATCCGAGGACTCGACGGCCGGCTTTTCCTAAGAGGAGATCGCCTGCGTCGGCCATAGAGTGGATCTCGGGGTGTTGGGTTTTGAGTTGTCCAATTGTGTACCCGGTGTATGAGGAGATGGATCCGATCAGGAGGATGGTAAAGATGCCTCTGGAAGGTAGGTCAGGTCAGGTCAGGTCAGCAAAGCCACAGGGTAGAGCAGGATAGAGCAGAGTGGGTATATACGGAATAAGACCTAAGATGGACAACGCCTTTGGCAGAGAGAGGATGCCGAGTGAGATGGTTTCGGCGATCATGACTGACACTATCAGTTCTAGCGACACGGTGATTATGATTGCAAAGACGGTGAACGTACTCATGCCGGCTTGCCTGGATGAAACGGAGATCAATTTCAATGAAGTTGGCGAAGAGGAGAGGCATGACAAGTGATCAGATATCAGATATCACTCACCACCATGTCATGGTCTTATACTTCACCGTCGCATCGCGTTCATCGCCGAATGGGTCTTTCACGGCCGGGGAAACGGGCTTGTCATCGACATTGAACTCATTTGCTTCAAGTCGGCGCGGGGTATTGTCCCCTTGCTGGGCTGTCAATGTCATTGCAAAAATACAGAAATCGGGGATAAAAGGCGAGGTGTGTAGTTGGAAGATAGAAAACTTGCAATCTCGCGGAAAGGAAGTCACAATTGAGTGATTATACTTTTTGGTGGTCAACACCAAAGTTGAGAGAGGCGTACTTGCCGTCGCATAGAAGATGGTCTAGACCTAGAGACAAGGAAAGCACGCGTGAACACAGGTGAACATTAAGGAAACATTTCTATTTGTACAAGTCGAGTTTATATATATAAGAGAAGATCTATTTGGAGGCATCCGAGGCGTTCTCAGGTGTGGCAACGGCATCGTGCTCGAGGATATCGGCAGGGGGGTTCTGGTGATGGTTAGCAGTGTTCATAGGTAGGTAGAAGGTAGATAGGGTGGTGGCTTACCAGTGCGAGAGAAGTTCTTGTATGCTTCCTCATCAAGCTCCATCACTCGGCCACTCTGCACCTCCTTCCGGGACAGCTTCATGAAAGTCTGAGGGAGACCCATGGAGGCCAGGTACTTGAGTGAGTCCTTCCACTCGACATCCTTGCGCGAAGGGGTCCAGTTCAACTCATCACCCATCAGATCGATGACTTGGGGAAGGGCCTCCAGGGCAGCCTCGGCGTTCAGGAAGGCCAGACGAGTACGGCGGGCAATGACGTCAACGGCAGTCTGAGCATACTCGTGGCGGACGGCGTAGCGGACCTCGCCATCGACGAAGGGGTACAGGGGAGAGATACGGCAGCCACGGACGGGGAAACGCTCGTGGGTTGGGGCGGAGAGGGCAGCAACTTGCCAGGCACGGTCACCGTAGGACTCGGTGAGGTGCTTAGCGACGTCGGTCTCGAGACCAAAGTGTTGGATCAGGTTAATGAAAAGAGTCTTGGAGAAACCGTGGGCACCGATCAGACGCACTTGGTGGGTCTGGCAGGTACCGTTCAGGGTAGCACCGTCAGCCACGAGGCCGCTGCCACCAACACCACTGATGTCGGGGATGTTGGTCAGGGAGCGGGGCTTCAGCTTGAAAGAGCTGATAGCCTCATCGACAGCCTCCTCGGCCATCTGGCGGTAGGTGGTCCACTTACCACCGGCGCAGGTCAACAGGCCGGAAGCAGAGACGGAGACCAGGTGGTTGCGGACCAGAGCCTGGGAGCTGGTCTTGTTGGGGTCGCGCACCAGGGGACGGATACCGGACCAAGCGGCCAGGACATCACCACGCTCCACGTTGATATCGGGAGCCAGATAACCGCGAATCTCCTTCAGAATCCAGTTGATATCCTCCTCGGAAGGCTCGGGGTTGGCGGTGATCTCGGTGGGGGCATCGGTGGTACCGGCGATGGTGTTACCCTGCCAGGGAAGGAAGAAGATGACACGGCCGTCAGAAGTAGACGGGTCGATGAGACCCATGTCCGAGGGGCTGTAGTAACCGGGGAGGATGATGTGAACACCAGAGCTGGGCGCAACGATCTCCTTGGTCTCGGGCTCGTCCATCTTGCGGATAGAGTCACAGAAGGGACCAGTGGCATTGATGATACCCTTGGCGCGGATCGTGAACTCCTTACTCTCCTTGCCATCCTTTCCGGGGATCACATCCTTCATGACCGCACCGCACAGCTTTCCATCCGCATCCTTGGTCAGACCGGTGACCTCCATGTGGTTCACCACGGTACTGCCGTAGAGGGCGGCGGTCATGGCTAGGGAAACATTCATGCGAGAATCGTTGTGAGCACCATCATAGTAGACCATGGCACCGACCACATTGTCACGCTTCAGCATGGGGAAAGAGTCAATGGCCTTACTCTTGGTCAGGAAGTAGGAGCTCTCAATGCCCTCGGAGCCAGCCAGAAGGTCATAGGCCTTGCAACCTGCCCAGAAGTAGGGAGCCTGCCACCATTTTTGCAGCGGCACCATGATGGGCAGCCATGATGACAAGTGTGGAGCTGTGTTCAAAAACCAGCGACGCTCACGAAGAGCCTCCTTCACCAATGCGTACCTAAGGAAAAATCGGATCAGTATGGGTGGGATGGGTTGCGCTGGGGTTGCGCTGGTGGTAGCGGAGATTGCGGTCGGTCACTAAAGCCCACAGAGGCAAAGGAAAAACTCACTGGTTGTAATCCAACTCCCAGAAAGCCTTCTCCAAGTAACGAACACCACCGTGAACCAACTTAGTACTCTTGCTAGAAGTTCCGGAACTGAAATCGTCGCGCTCAACCATCGCGACCCTCAATCCTCGCGTCGCAGCATCGAGAGCGATACCGGAGCCGGTAGCTCCGGCACCAATGACCAACAGGTCATAAGGCTCGTCTTCTTGCTGGCTCTTCTTCAAGTCTTGGATCTGTTCGAGGCGAGATTTGATGAGAGGGAAGCTGGGAGGGACGAGCTTGCCCTCGTGGTATCCGGGGGTGGAACTGCGGGTGCTTCAAAACCGGGGATATTACGAGGACGGTAGGAGATGTAGAGAAGGCCCGCTCCGGCGGCCGCGGCCGCGGAGGTGTAGAGCAGAGGTCGCAGGAGCTTGCGCGAATGACGAGCGGCCATTATCTAAGCGCTATGTGTAGGATGATCTGGGAGGTCGAGGTCGAGTTTTCGGAGTTAAGGTAGGAGAGTTCTGAGGGTAGAGCTCGGGTCAATTGGAAGGGGGGACCGAGCTGTGGGAGGGTTCGTCGGGATGAGCAGGAAATATGGGAGAGTGGAGAGGAGGAAGGGAGGAAAAGATGAAGGAAGAATAGATTTGGAGTAGTGGAAGAGGAGAAGAAATCAAGATAATCACGGGAAGAACCAAACTTGTGGCTACTTGTCAGTCATAGGTGATACCGTGACTTTGTTCTAAGACAGGCAAGATTTGCGAGATCGCTACACCTTCTCTATCTTTTTTACCCCCACCCCTTCTTTTTTGGCGGAAGTATTATCACCCTTTCGATTTATCCTTTTTTTTTCTTCCTGGGCCAAGCACGCCTCTCTCTGCGCCTGCGTCATTCGCCTTCCAGCTTGCACAGTCCACATTGATTGGCTTTGGCATTGGCATTGGATTGGCAGGTGGATCAGCATGACGGTGTCCATGCACCACACAAACTGGATGAGAGTGCTCATTGTCCCACCAATCAGATCTTCAGTTCAGAGCTCAAGGTGCTCAAAGGTGGACTCGACTGTGTCCACTTGGACTACATGTGACCGCGCAGAGATTTCGATTTTTCAAGGGACAGCTTCGGTGGACATTCCCGAACTCTTAGGCAGATCCCCTAGGTCTCCATCCCCTTACCCTAAAGAAGACATCCAGAACTTATCCGCTAAGAGCACACCAGGTCTGGGCCCAACAAATCTCTGCATGCGCAGCTGACTTGCGGCTCGATCCACTTCCAGATCGCGGCCCCGGTTTTCAGGGGCGCGTCTTCGTCGATCCACCCACTTGGTTCGCCTTTGATGTTGTCATCTTCCACTGACCGGTTTGGAGGTCCCTGACTGATATCCTGTCTTTTCTTTTAAGAAACCGGGATACAATGGGTGGACTTGGTACGGAGTACAGTGGAAACAAATTCCAATCAAGTTCCAGGTTTGTTTCCTCCTTGCAGGATTTCTGGTGGAATGTGATGAGGCATTCTCCTGTGTGTTCTGGGTGGAGCCGGACCTTTTTTTTCTCCCGTGCTTCAATACTTGGCCAGGTAGACCTCTGGTAGGCAGCTGATTGTTATCAGTGGGAGATTTGCATAGGAGATTACAGTATATTTATATTTATCTTTATACTTATGCTCTGGATGGAGTACAGCCCTGAGGCCATTGCCACTAGCGGCGGGTCTAGCTGTGCGATCAGCGACCAGTCAATGCTCCCGGGACCCTGCAGGGCACCCAGGCTATGGGTATTCGCAGTAAATAGTATTACTACTGCCAGTGAGTATTCTGGATTCATCTGATGCGGTTTCATGTCTCAATTGCATCCATCCAGGTTGTACAAATGGAGTGGCCAGGGTACCCTGGGCTTGGGGACACAATGTCTTTCTCATCATTCTGGTGGTGGTATATGTAAAGCATCCAGGTATGAGGAAGGTCTATATATGGTGTAGGCATGATACCAACAAAGTCGTGGTACTCGTAAGACTACTAAGCATGAAGAAGAGGAAGAAGAAGCTACACGCAGATACAAGTTCATGCCCCAGGCACTAACACGTGATTTGTCACAGTACTATGAGAAAGCAAGAAAAATATCTGTGCAGTGCGAAGCCTAGTAGTATGTAGGCCTCGTTGGCTATTTCTATGGCCAATCAAAGACTATAGATATCGAGTGCCTAGGTAAAAGAGGGCCTGTAATGGAGGAATTCCATTGTAGGACAGCGCAAGATTTCCGGGAGTGCGGCTGATTTCCGTGATTTCCGGCAGAAAGAATCTTCATACTCACCGCCCTATCATCGACCAATAACCAACGGAGAGAGTGTCATAGACTACCAGCTACAGGTCTACGATTGGATATATTCTACTGCGTGTCGAATACCACAATAGAATATAGAATATACAACTGTAATATGGTCATCGTTATCAAAACAAAATACTAGCAAAACACAATTGATCCGAGCCCTTCCCGGGTACTACATAGTTGAGTGCGGAATCCAGCCAGTCACACCTGGGGTACAAAATGTGGGGTAACATTGTATACCTCCGCATCACAGCGACGGAAATATTCCATTCCATGTAGCCGGCCAACCTTATAGAATATGCCCTCTCTCGCCGACCTTGGTCAAAATTCACCAAAATAAGCCTTTCACAACCCTCGTCTTTCCCCCTTCTCTTGCACAGGCTAGGTCTAGCTAGGTCCTCACCATGGCCATCGCAGCCTTACTATCAACCCTTCAAGCCCGCGCCCTTGAGTCTCCACTCCAGACTCTCGGTGTCGCGGCTGTCGTGGTGCCTATTCTTTACGTTATCTTGAACGAGTTTATTCGCTACTCGGCTCGTGTGAAGGGTCTCGGGGGTCCGGCGGGCTTACCGTTGATTGGAAATCTAAGCCAGATTCGTGTTAATGCTGCGGAGCAGTATCGCGCTTGGTCGAAGAAACATGGGGCTGTTTATCAGATTATGTTGGGTAATATTCCCGTCGTTGTGGTGAACTCTGCTGCGTCGGCGAAGGTTCTTTTCGGTCAGAATGCGCAGGCTCTTAGCTCGAGGCCGGAGTTTTATACTTTTCACAAGGTGAGTTGAGTTGGGATGAGTTTACTATCTGTTTGTGCAGTCTGGATGCTCTTACTTGTCACAAGCACTAGACTACCTAGGTAGTCAAGGGACTAGCCACGCCAGATCGGGCTAGACGAGAGACTGACTTATATCGCTAGATCGTATCAAACACAGCCGGCACAACAATCGGCACATCGCCCTACAGCGACTCGCTGAAACGCCGCCGCAAAGGCGCAGCCTCGGCCCTAAACAGACCATCCGTCGAATCCTACGTCTCCCACCTGAGACGTCGAATCAAAGTCCTTCGTGGAAGAGCTCTACCGCTACGGCAAAGCAGGCACCACCCCCGTCGACCCGATGCCCATGATCCAACGCCTAAGTCTGAGCCTCGCGCTCACGCTGAACTGGGGCGTCCGCATCGCCTCGCAGGAAGAAGCCCTCTTCGACGAAATCACGCACGTCGAGGAGGAGATTAGCCGATTCCGCTCAACGACGGGGAATATGCAGGATTATATTCCGCTGCTGAGGTTGAATCCGTTTAGTTCTAATTCGAAGAAGGCGGCGGAGATGAGGCTGCGGCGGGATAAGTATTTGGGGGATTTGAATCGGGGACTGGATGAGCGGATGGAGAAGGGGACGCATGTTCCTTGTATTCAGGCGAATGTTATTTTGGATAAGGAGGCTAAGTTGAATGCGGAGGAACTTACTAGTATTAGTTTGACGATGCTTTCGGGCGGGCTTGATACGGTTACGACGCTTGTTGCGTGGAGTATTGGGCTAATTTCTAGTCGGCCGGATGTGCAGGATAAGGCTGCGAAGGCTATTGAGGAGTTTTATGGGGCTGGTCAGCCGATGTGTGATGCTGATGATGATCAGAAGTGTGCTTATGTTGCGGCTTTGGTGAGGGAGTGCTTGAGGTATGTCACAGTGTTGGTGAGGGTGAGGGTGAGGGTTTGCGAGAGGTGAGGCCTGTTCTAACGGTTCTGTAGATACTTTTGCGTTCTGAGATTGGCTCTTCCGAGAACTTCCATTCGGGATATTACCTATGAGGGAATTGTTATTCCTAAGGGGACGGTGTTTTTCCTCAATGCTTGGGCTTGTAATATGGGTAAGTGGAGCCAGCTCTCATCCATCCTAACCCGTATGAACTGGGAAAAAAAATACCAACTGACTGGCTGACTTCAATAGACCCCGACGTCTGGACTGACCCAGAGGAATTCCGCCCAGAGCGCTGGTTCGAACAACCCGACGCGCCAATCTTCACATACGGCATGGGCTACCGCATGTGCGCGGGCTCACTGCTCGCCAACCGCGAGCTCTATCTCGTCTTCATGCGGACACTGAACAGTTTCCGCATCGAACCGCATGATGAGACGGATTGGCATCCTGTGAGGGGGAACTCGGATCCTACGAGTCTGGTTGCTATTCCGCAGAAGTATAAGGTGCGATTTGTGCCCAAAGATGCGAAGGCGTTGGGCGAGATTGTGAAGGCGTGAGTGTGGCCCGGCCAATTGGAGGTGATGGGAAAGTGGAAAGTATAAAGGAAGGAATCCAAAAAGATCTACTCCACCCCAGAGAGAGAGAGAGAATGGAAAAAACACCCGCCTGTGGACCCTCGCCGGTGACGATCCACTTGTGTGGAGCCCGTGGTTCTGTGAATTAGGGTCACCCCACTCTATACAACGCATTATGGAAATGTACATGCTACGTGTATGTACGTGGTACGTGTGAGGAATGAGAAACTTGAGAGGATGGGGGTTGGGGTGGTTTGATCGCTTCTGAGCGTGGGATTGAATTGAAATATATCAGATATTCTACATTCTGCACCGTTCTGTGGTTCCTGTGCGTAGCGAGCCGTAGCTATAACAGTAAGAAAATAAAAGAATCAAATAAACAAGCGGAGCACAGGCGATCGCCGAGCCTTATAACAGTCGAGCAGTCTGGTGGATGTATCGAATTGAGAGGGGTGTCCATTAGATCCGATCCTTGCAACTCCGGGATATCATAGTATAATAGGTAGCAGTGGGTATAGGTTTGGGTATGGGTATGGGTATAGGTATAGGTATGGGGAGATGGTCGTGAGAACAGAGTCAAATATAAAGCCGATTTGGGCGGGGTGTTGCCCTTCATGATAATCCGTGTAAATTCAAGTCATTTTTCAATGAGACGCCTTTGGTTTTTAATTCCCCCTCCAATGATGCAATGTTGTGTTTCGCTGGGCGGTGGCCGAAAGTGAGGTAAATGAAGTAGATCAGGTTGATGAGGTTGATGGTGGGAGGTTGGAGGTGCCCGAGGTGGGGTTGAGAGATTGTTGATGTGGAGTCATCTCAGCTGAGATGAGGGATTTGTCGAATCAAGCCAATACTTAATAGTATTAAGTAGTAGTCAAGCGTCGCTTTAAATCTCGCACGGGATCAAAGGAACTCGCATAGTCGCGTAGCTCATCTTGAAGATGATCGGAAATGGTGGTATCGGAGGTGTGACTTTTCAAGGAGGAAAGAGAGGTTTGAGAGGATGATGCTGACAGACTTCGAGATGATCGAGTCGAGTCAAGGGTAGATGACCTCGAATGAGAGGGGCCACTGGCTGGTCGAGGAGATGTAGATGAAGATGAAGAATCTTCAGGACGATCCAGTTCAGCGAGTCTGCATGTTTGAGAGCAGTAGGGACCGCCGGATGTTTGACGGTCACAGGCCAGGCAGAAATCTAGAGACCACTCGGTAGACATGGTGGTCATGGTAGATGGATATTATGGGAGGTGATGGAGGTGATGGAGATGATGGAAGTGTGGTAAAGGTGGTAAAGGTGGTAGTGAAGATGGAGGGGAAAGAAAAGTTCAAGGCGGAACGAGGCGTAGATATGTATTGAGTAAGAGTAAACCATGGGCATCACCACGATCAACATCACCTCATAGGGGCCCCACTCGGTAGGACAATCATGCCACACACCCGTTGGCCAATGTGCGAGGCAACAAGGCATGTATTGGATCCACTATTACTGAGGTACTCAGGTACCTGAGTACCTGGTTGAGGATCACCTGTATGGAGTACAGTATGATGATATGAATACATTCAGTCTACTTCCATCTTCACACTAACTCCCACGGTCTGCTGGTCCCCCCCGCAGTACTGCGCCAATTATTGACCAACCTGCACGTCTGCACCACCAAAATATGGCGTGGTTCGGGCGCTTACGACAAAAAAAAAGCAACGGACCTGAGCGAATTCCTGCAGGAACCTCGAACGGGCAATCATCGACGGGCTCCACCTTGACCTCGCGGGCCTGTCATCTGCGCACATGCGGTCTGAGCGTTACCTTGGGAGGCGATGGCGATGGTGATGGCGACTACGGAGTCTCTGATACGCCATAGGATGAAGTGGAGTTCCTATTCCATCCTATTCCTATTCCTATCCTAGCCACATCCCCCCCCCGGTTGGTATTACAAGTCTGTGCGGTTTCATGTCTAACTCATCTTGGCTTAACTTGGTCTAATTTGGTCTAAATAATAGGGATACGCACAGTAGTATATGTATGTACTCCGTAGGGTACCCTTCCCTCATTGGTGCCTTTCATTGGTCTCAAAAACTTTATAGAGCACTCCTGCACGTCCCTTCGATAAACTTAGCTGCATGGGACGCTAACCACCGTCACGCGATGAGTGAGGAATGCTGCTAATCCATGCTGCGCTGCCGTCAAATGCGGGGGAAGGTTCGTGCTCGTGCTTCGTGCCAAGGTCCTCTCCCACTTCCCACCCCCCCTCTTCTCTAATCTTATCCTTCCCGACCCTATGAGCATCCGTGAGGACCCGTTACATGATCCGCCCAGGGTTATCGTGGCGCCCGTGGCCCAGGGGTGACAAGTAAGCTGTAGAAAAGGGGTAGAAAAGTGGGGGAAGGCCAAGGAACTCAACAGAACCACAGGTACAGTGCAGTACAGTGCAGTGCAGTACCTGGAGCTGAAGCTAGAGATGGCTGCTGCATGTTCATCCCAACCGGGCCGGGCTTTTTCTCCGCATTCGATGCGACTGGGTGAAATGACGGAATCGAGTCGAATCGGCAGCGCTGGACTGGATGGAGAGGCGAGGGATATGTGGCAGGCGGAGAGAGGGGATGACAGAGAGTGAAGGACAGACATTCAATGAAATTGAGCATTGCTAATGATGCCAATGCCAATTCCTCTGCCCTGTCTCTGCTCTGCTCCTCTGTTTCACTCGCCAACCTTGTCGCTTGACTCAGCAGGGATGCGAACCAAGGTGGCTGGCAAGCGAGTTTCAGTCAGGTCATCGGCCCCCCTCGGCTCCGGCGGCGTCGTCAAGACCACTAGCTTTCTCTGCGCATGACGTTAGTGTCTAAGACTCCTGATAGCCCCTCCTGATAAGGAATGCTGGGGTGATATGATATCGGATAGGGTATCGGCGATGCTTACTGGATGCTAGACTGATAGCACGAAGAACGTTATCCCAATTGGCAAGTACGCACGCAACCGCTGGATCGAATCAGTATCAGCGGGGTCGGGGTGGTACAACCCTGCCCTGGGAAATCAAATCGAATCGAATCGCAGGGCTGAGATAGAAAAAAAAACATACCCTCCGTGCCATCCTTCAACGTGGCAATCTTGCTCTCGAGCGCCTGCATTTGCATGGCCAGGGTGCCGCTCAAATCGCGTAGTTGGCGGAGATTCTCGAGCTCGGCCTTTTTGGCCGCGATACGCGTCGACAGCGCTGATGAGGGCTGGCTGGCTGGCTGGCGTAGTCCGCCTGGAAGCATTGAGGTTGGTCGGGACGAGTAGGCCATTTCTGTGAGGGAGGAAGGAATGTGGCGTTCTTAGGCGTGGGGGAATGCGATGGGATGCGTGGAAGGCAAAAAGACAAAGGCAAACAAATCGTTTCTAGTCCGCTTCCACCGTCATCTCATCAATAAATTATTATGTGATCATAGTGGGACGCGATCCCGTGACTTTGTCCCAGTGACTGCGTTCCCGTGACCCGCTGAGGGGCTAGATGAGTCATCCAGTTATGGGGCTAAACCTGAAGCGGACAAACATCAACATTGATGTTTACCTCACCCGTTTTACCTTGCAGCATCATCCACTCCACGTCCTGCCTGCGTTCGATCTCGGTGCCATCCCACCATGGCCCGACTCAATGACTACGCGGCTCCGGCCGAGTCAGTCGACGCTCGTAAGTTGATTCTGCCTGTACATCTGGCCTCTGGCCTCTCGAAATCCACTAACCATCATGCTTTCAGTCAAGAGGCGATTCGTCCGACAAAACCGCGAAATCATGCGAGTCAACTCCATGCAATCAATGCGCATCCGCAGCCTAGAATCAGAAGTCTCGCACCTCCTCAGCGAAAACGTTTCCCTCCGCGGCCAAATAATCACCCTCACCCAAGAAAATGAGCGACTGGATTCCGCCAAGGCGCTCCAGAGCGGCGTTTACGAAATCAAAGCTCGTCTCGATGCGAAAATGGCCGAATTGAACGGTCTTGTTTCGGATTTGGGAGCACTTCCTCGCAAAGCTGGGAAGATGTTCAAGGATCGGTCTTTCGTCGCTAACTCCGACCGTCTTAAGATGGCGGAGGCGCCTCCGCGCGCGAATGATCCGGACTACAATGCGGAAATCGAGGATGGGAAATTACCTGCTATCTTGGAAGATAAATATTTTCCGAGGAAAACGTTAGAGTGAGTTTTGTTCCGCTTGAGATGAACGGGGGGGGGAGCGCTTAAGGGCTATCGCTAACTCTCGTGCAGGCCGCAAGAAGTTCATGAGCTTGTGGAGGGTGATTCCTGCATGCCTGAATCGCCGTTGATGCATCATCTGGAGCCCGCAACTGCGACTACGACCGCGATCGAAGACACGACCAGATCGGACGAAATACCTTTGGAAAATAAATTCAATCTCTCGCCTAGCCCCGAAGCCTACCTCCCCGCTACCCTCGAGACCCGCAAGAAGAAAAGGAGACCCGAAGTGGCAGCTGCCTCCAGCGATAATGAGGTGGAGAGTGTCGGCCATACAGCAACAGCAACCTCAAAGGCGGAGGTGGAGGCCGATACGAACACTGGAACTTGTTTGAAATTCGGCTCTAAGCGCAAGTTTAGTCTTGACGACGATGCCTTGTTCGATCTGGCTCCTGAGGATGACTTCCAGTTTAGTCGACTGAGTCGCAGTCCCCAGAAGCAGAAGGATACATTCCAGTTCCTGGCCCAAGAGAGTTCATCTTCTCCCAGTAAAACGCCCGTGAACATGAAACGAGGCTCTGCAAACACCACGAAACGGAAGGTTCTTGAACCAAGTAAGAATTCCAGCCCATCTTCCACTGACCATTGCTATTAAGTGAAACTGTAACTAACCACCACGAACAGAAAGCGCCAATTCCAACCTAGCCTCCCCGAAGAAATCCCGCGCCTCACAAGTAGACAGCAAGTCCCGCCAGAAACTCGGACGAGACAAAAATATGCCTTCTCAAACCCCCAAGGAGATGCTGAGCCAAACGACAAAACCACCATCTGCACGACCTCGTGGTCGCCCGCCTTCTCTGATGCAGAAACCTAAACGTGCCAACCAATCGATTACGGAAGATGCTGTGTCGAGTCAGCCGAAGACAAAGATCACTGCTGCTGTTGTCAAAGACTCCCCGATTGCGAAATCGAGAGAGAGTATGGAGGATATGTCTGACGAGACGGGTGTCTCGCGTCCCTCCCGACGTCGCGGTGCAGTGGTCAGCTACGCGGAGCCGAGTCTTCGGGCTAAAATGCGTCGCTCGACGAAGGATATGGCCGACGCGGTGGCGGATCGCCGATCCTCTAGCTTCCAGCTTGGTCGCGAAAGTCTTGATGGAGATGATCAGTTTGTTGAAAGGTCGGAGACCGAGGATCGTTCACGTTCACGTTCACGTACACCTGGACATGCCGCGGTCTTGCCGGATGTTTTGTCAGATGGAGGGTCAGATACGATTGCAGTATCTCGGCGCAGACGTAAAGTGTCGACGGCGACGGACGAGCTTCTCCCTTCCGACAAAGATGAGCGTTCAACCCGTGAACCTGCCCGACAATCTCGTCGACACTCGTCGAATCCGAAGAGTGCCATTGTGGACGATGAGTGGTCATCACAAGCGGATAGCAGCTTTGATAATGATGACGTGTGGAAATTACCCGCTGCCGAAGCCCGAGAAACGAGAATCGGTGCCAGAAGGAGAAGTATGATGGTTTGAATGGGGCGAGCTGAGCTGAGCTGAGCTGAGCTCTTGGTGCATGGTTTGGATGATTGTATTTACTTTAGACTGCCCTGCGGCGTTACAGATACCCTCTTGTTTAATTGTTGCGAATTGGATTGGTATTGATGACTTTCCTGCTTGTATCTGTAAAGCAAAAAAGAATATCCGATCTTTATTTGAGGAAGATGGGGGGTTCCTTGAGCTGATCTGAGCTAGTCCCGTCATGTTGCCCTGACCTGACCTTCACCCGTGAAGCACTTGCTCCCGAGTTCTGCTCGCTCTTCCGCATCTAAGGTAATGACGAGCAACCGGATCAAGCCATACTGATATCAGCGATATATCCACGGGCCGGGCGCATCGCATCGCATCGCAATGCTCTAATGATGGTGTTGGGCGTAGTCCTGCGTAGTCCTGTCCAATCCAATCCAACCCATCCGACCCAGCCATGTATGTATGAATATCATCACCCAAGCCGCATCAAGCCCAGATTCCATCCCAAGGTAAAAACTATATCCCGTACGCTCCAAATAAACTCAAGACCCCGCGGGCTTAGACTTCGGCATCTTCTCATAAGCGTTCGGACTGGGTTTCCTCCTTGGCTTGGTCTTCCTCTGTTTAGGCGAGTGTTCGTGCCCGTGTCCGCATTCATCTCCATCCCCATGCTCGTGCCCATGCCCATGCCCATGTCCACGCCCGCCGCCAACTCTCCGAAGGCGCCGCCGATCAGCCTCATTCTCACTCTCGCTGTCGCTGTCGCTGTCGTCGGAACTGGATGATTCGGAACTACTTTCGCCTATTGGGCGGGTTTTGTGGTATATGCAGCATACTACGTTTGTTAGTGACTGCTTTGCTTTGCTTTGCTTTTAGCGTGTGGGGTGTGGGGTGGGGTGGTGGTACCTTTTGAACTCTTCTTGCCCATTCCTTCGTTGTCGACGACGTCGGTGCTCCATCTTATGCGGCGGGATGATTCGGGTTCGGGTTCGGCGCTGGTCCTTGCGCTGCCGGTTGCGCTGTCGTCGCCTCGGAGGCGGAGGGTTTGGGGGAGGGGTGTGGGTAGGGTTGAGGAGGGGCGAGGTGTTGAGGTTGTGGTTGTGGTGGTGGATTGTGGGGTTGTTATTTGGTTTGAGCGGGACATTTTGCAAGGTTGGTTCTGGTTTTGGTGTGGTGTGAGGTGTGTGAGGTTGGTGAGTGCTGGAAACTTTGGTGGGCAGGTGGGTTACCTTGCGATTGATAAGCTCACCGCTTTAGAGGCGCTTAAGTAACGGGGTTGAGTGCCAGTGGGATGCAGGACAATGGTTTATTGTATACTAGTATATGCCCACCCAGGTGGGTATAAGGATGGTTGTGAGTAAGTATTAGTACACACTGGAAATGTTTGATGGTGAGCTAGGTAGTATGATGACGTGGTGATTTGTATGTCAAGCCTGTGGCTGCAGCTAAACGGCCAAAGAGTATCTATCAATCAGAATATAGTATTCCAAGTTACTAGTAGCTTTACCTACGTCTGTCTACACAGTCAGCATTACAGGCTAAATTTAATAGAAAATTCTTTTGTTGAAAGCTATCTCAAATATCAGACACGACCTGATCACTGGGAATAGTGGCAGAGTTACAAAGGGGGATCAAATAGTTAGAAAGGGTTGGTTGTGTTGGTTTGGGGTTTGGTTTAGTTCGCATCGCATCGCATCACATAGGATTACGCCGTCGAAGTAGATCAGATCAGAGATCAGAGATCCGAATCAGAAACAGGCCAGGCTCTAATGCCTCGCCTCCCATCTAATCAAAGCTCATAAAAAGACCAGCCGTCAAGGCCGTTCGCTGTCTCGGATTCCGGCCCCAATTCGCGGTATTCTCGATCCAGTCAGAGCTCATCTTCTTGCTCCATCTCCGAGGGCTTCAGGAGACCTCCGACTTTCATGGCGCGGTCGCGCTCGGCGGCTTGGGCGTCGCGAACGGCTTGCTCGCGTTCTTCGGCGTAGAGCTCGGCGTTGTCGTCGGAGAACTCCTTTAGGGAGATTAGGAAGTCGCGGAGGTGGGTCTTGAACTTGTTCAGGTCGTCGGTGAAGGTGAATAGGCCGATGACGAATTGCTTGATTTGGGCGCTGGAGAGGGTTAGCAGGGCGCGGGGGAGGGGGATGGGAAGGAGGGCTGAGAAGGGGCAACTCACTCTTGCAGGTTCTTGAATGCGCTCTGGAGGAGGTTTGCGACGTATTCCTGCAGGAAGTCCTTGTTCGAGGTTCCTGCGGGCGCTTGCTCCGCGGTGTAAATGGGTTCTTGGATCTTTCCGGATTCGACGAACAAGAACATACGAGAGAGCAGCATGGCTTGTGATTTGAAGCCTAGATTTAGATGTGTTAGCGGGAATGTATACGGGAATGGATAGAGAAACTGGGGCACCCACCAGCCTTGTGATCGCTATCGGTCAGAACGAAGAATACATCCTGAAGAATTGGGATGTAGAATTGGCGGAAGAAGATCGCCGATGTTTGCGGGTCCGTCTCGGCCATGTTGTTCATCAATTCGAGACACATGGTGAGACCGGTGTTCTCCACCTCGCGGTTATCGTGCTTCGAAGCCCACATGCAAGAATCAATGACAAACTTGAACTGAGTGGCATCGAGCTTCAGCAATGCAGGGAAACAGTAAAGGTTGACTGCCTGGAGGAGTTTGAAGAATTGCACACGGTGCTCTGGGTACTCGTGGAAATCCTTGTTGATCATCTCCAAAGTGCAGCTGAACACACAGTCCATGATACTAGGGATCTTATCCTCCATCAGGTTGTGGAGCTTGTGGATGATGGTTGTCATGACGTTGAGGACCTCCGCCTCACGCGCGTCCGGGACGTTGCGGTTGTAGTCGAGGAGGACCGCCTCGAGGAGGGGTGGCACCATGTTGGCGTTGACCATCTCGAGATCGTCGGACTTTTCAACATAGGTATCGATCAGCTTCAGGATTTCCTTCTTGATGGTTCGCAAACCCCGGACTTTGGGGGTCTTGGGAGCAATGTGGCCATCATTCGCGACGGCGTCGTTAATGAGCTGGCTGGAGGCCCTGTACATGTTCAACATGTCAAGGTAGATTCGACCAATTTGGGAATAGAAATATGTTCCGATAGAAGAACAAGCCGCAACATTGGTCTTCATGATGTTTCCGATGATCTTGATGGTGTTGGAATCCTGGAGAATGGCCGCATTCTGGTTGGCCTCGCCGATGATCTGGTCCCAAGCGGAGTTGGGCAACGCCATCAGGTTCTCGATGAGGCGGTCCTGGAGAGTCTTTTGGCCCTGAGCGGAGATCATATAACCGCAAGCCTCGTAGAAAGTGTGGATCTGCTGCGGTGAAAGGTCCATCGTGATTTTGCGCATGTTGCGAACGATTTCCTCGATAAAGGGCTCGTTCTCGCCCGGCTGCAGAGCCACGAAGTGGCGTCGGCATTTGTTAGCAATCTTAATAAATGTATCGCAAGCCATATCCTGGACACCTTCGTGGGTCTCGTGCATGAACTCGAAGAGCTTGTTCACGACAGTCTTCAGGAACTTCCAGTGGGCCTTCAAGAAGCGGGGGTACTGGCCCACAATATACATGATATTACTTGCGACGACGGCCTTGTTGTCCTTTCCGCGCTTTTGCTCGGTCAGGCCCAGGAGGTCCTTGATCACAGTGACCAAGAACCGCTTCTCGGTCTCTTCATTCATGGCGCCGGAGATGGAACCGATGGCCCAACACAAAGTGTTGCAGTTGACCCAGGACCACTCGGATCCATCAACTTGCTTGGCCAATTTATCGATCATGATAGTTTCGGTATCCACCACATCCAAATGCGTCAGGTAGACCAGACACTCGCGAATGGTCTTGTAAAGCTGAATGGTATCGCTTTCCTTGACAAATTCGCGCACAATCTCTCCCTCGTCATTCTCGACGATCAGAACCTCCTCGGGGCGGACCATCTTCTCGATCATTACGGTGCGAAGGTTGGAGAGAACGGTCTCGTACTTGTGCTTGCGCAAGGGGTAGTTGGCCAGGGTGCTTGGGTGGGGGGCACCGCCGTTGGAGAGGCCACTCACGCCCATTGTGACCAGAGGGTTGATATCGGTAATTGGGAGTTGCTGCATCTCCTCGTACAGCTCCTGCACCAGCCGGGTCCAGTAATCCAGACAGATCTTGAAAACTTCGCGGTCGTCAATCTGGCTGACTCGGATCAGGTAGAAGTGGGCGTGGGTGAGGTAATCTTGGTTGGGCAACTTCTCGACGAGATCCAAGTGAGCACTGAAGAAACTCGAGAGGAAGAGGGCCAGATTCGAGACGAATTCTTGGTCTCTGCCGTTACTCTGGGCATATGTCTCCTTCAAATCCATAGTCAGGGGAATGACGTTGGAGACCTTGGTCAGGGTCTCGGTGAACATGAACACCAGCTTCTCATCGTAGTTGTAGGGAGCGCCAATCTGCAGGCCGCCGATCTCGGTCAAACACTTGAGAGTGACATTTCGGAACTCGGGAACGTCGAGGAACCGAGTGAGGAGGGTATTGATGATGGGGGTTTCGAAGATGTAGCCCAGCGGGATCCAATTCAGGAAACGGAGCAAGGTCTCGAGAGTTGCCTTGACGAGGGTGGTCTGGTTGGCGGTGTTGAGGACTTCGGAGCAGAGCTGGAAAATGGAGGCAAACTCTTGAGTCATGGAAGTCTTCAGGTTTCGAGCCTTGGCCGAGGTCATCTGGTCTTGGGAGAAATCGAAGACTTCCTCTGACAAGAGACGGAGGATGGCCATGTTGTTTTCGCAGATGGATAGGCTGGCATGGCATGATGAAATGATCTCGTTGATGAAGGTTGGCCAGTTGTGTGGCCATTCCTGCTTCAAGATTGAAACCAGGACCAGGTTCAGTTTGTTCAAGAAGGCGCGTTCGCTGCGGAGCTTCTCCTCGGAGCCGGAGTTTTCGATGATAAAGTTCACGATGAAATTGCGAATTCCTACAAGGGAAAAAGGGATTGTTAGAAAAGGCTTTGAGGGAGGTCCCGGGGAGAGGTCCCTCGGGGTGAGATTCCCCTCAGGAACTGGAAAACTAACCTTGGCACTGTTCCCTGGGCAGGACCTTCCAACGGGTCATGATCACATCGTCAAGAACTTGTAGGGCGATATCTAAACACGAGTCAGCCTTTCTTCATCAAAGACCAGGGCACAAGCAAAGCCAACTCCAACTTACACTTCGTTTGAGGGTAGGTCGCCTCTTGAAGGATGTTACCCACGGTGACCCAGGCATCGGGATTTTGTTTAAACTAAAAGGCAAGTCGATCGGATCAGTACCGTAGTAGGCGGGGGAGAGGGAGAGGCGGAATCTTCAGAATCTTCGCGTCGGGGGAGAGGAAGCGCGCGCGGCGCGCGGCAGGCCAAGGCAAGCTTACTTCGGTCAAAGATTGTTGGGCTTGTTTTTGCTGGATTGGGGGTTAGCCGTGGGAAGTTGCATTTGCATGAAGAACAGGATGGACATACCACGTCACCTTTGCCTTCAAAGAAGGCTCGGACAGTGTTGTCCAGCTCTGAAACGGAAAGAGACATGACGCCGGCAGAGATTGGCGAATTCGCCGATATCACCAAAGAGCTAGCCAGACAGACAATCTGGAAAGAAGGCTAGACACGGGAGGGGAAGAAAGTAGTCGGAGCCAGGGCGGTTGGCTGGGGGTGGTGATTTGATGGAAGGGGAAGAAGGTGGGCGGAGGGGAAGGTTGATGTTAGGAAGACTAAACCTGGTGGGGTAGGTCGGCCAGGTCGGCCAGGAACTTCCAAAGTGTAGGGTAGGGTATGGGGAGGGGGGGTTTTTTTTGCCAGCACGCACTGCTCCAAGGGAGGAGGATGATTGGATGGAGCTCAAGATGGAGACTAGAAGAGAGAAAGGAGTAGATCAGATCAGATCTATGAAAAGACCACAGGGAAGATGGGAATCACACTGGCGGTGAGTGTTGTTGTTGGTGATCTTAGTCAGCGTCCCAGCGGAGCTATCGAGTATAGCAGAGTAACATAGTAATAGTAATAACATAATCGAGTGATCGAGTAATAGAGCAATAGCCTACTTAGGGCCTTTGTTTAGGGTTCCCTAAAATAAAAGAGTCTGGGGTTTATTTCTTTAGGGAACCCTAAACAAGTGCCCTAAGTAGGCTATTACTGGGAGTGTCACGGGAGTATCACGGGAGTACGAGTTGTGCATACCTAGGTACCATCTCTAGTGTAGTATATATTACAACTATAATTATAGCAAAAGGGTTAGGGGTTTAGGGGTTATAAAAGAAGAGTAGTTATAATTTAGGGAGCCCTCAACAGTGCCCTCAGGGATGGATCATACTTACCTTACGGTAAGTATACTCTCTATCACATCACATCCATGATGCCCACCACTGATAAGCGAAGCATAACCGCCCAACCCGCACCCGCGCGGTGTTGGCCGGTCAGCTCCACCGGACCAGACGGGGCGCCTGGGAACGCGCGCCATCGTCGCTCCGGTCGGGAAATGAATGGTTGTCTCAGACCCGCGCACACCTCACTGCGTATCGCGCTTTGGTCTTCCGATTGGCGAAGACCCGTGACGCCGTCCTTGCCGATCTCGCGCGCCAACAGGTCTTTGGTTATTTTTGTTATTTCGCCCCCAGTGCCCCCCATTCGTTTGGCCCGAATTGAGGGATCCGGAAGGTTTAGGGTCAGCCAGACCACAGAGAAGAGTGTCGCTATGTGGCTCAGGCGTACGAGAGGTGTGTAGTGTAGTGTTAGACTGCTAGTGTAGTGTAAGTAGTGTAGAGTAAGAGGGGGCCAGCTCTTTCCCGGAAGTACTCTAGTCAAAGTACTTTGGAGTGTATAGCACTTTCTTTTTTCTCTTCCTTCCTCTTTCCCTCTCTTTCCCTCTTTCCCTCTCTCTCTCTCTCTCTCTCTCTCTTTCCTCTTCTCTTCTCTTCCCCTCCTCTCCCTCTTCAATTCGCCCCTTCTCTTCCCTTCTTCCCTCTTCTTCTTCTCTCTCTCTCTCTCTCTTCCCACCTTACACCCTTCTCTTTAATCCTCCCTCCCCCTCTACTCTTTATACTAGAACTGTCTACTCTATATCTCTGATATCCCTAATTCTTTTCTTGATTCCCCATTCCATCCCATCCATCCCATTCTATCCCATTTGACATTCCCCATTGCCGCTGAACCACCCGGCTTCCGCCCCACCCCAGGCGAGGTTACCGCGATTTCCCCCCCCCTTAACCCGGCCGAGTACAACGATACCAAACAGAAAGGAAGAGAATCTGAACCTCCATTAATTTGGCATTTCCCAAAAGAAGAGGAGAAAAAGAAAAAGAAAAAAGGTTCAGGTTCAGAGTCAGTGCATTGACCTTCTCAGCTCGCAAGCGCATCCTGCGGGTTTCCCCCCTCCCATTGCCGCTTTTCGGCGCCTCTGGGCGGTTGCTTCTTACACTTTGTGTACCTCCTCCCCCTCTTCCTTTCCCTTTCCCTTTTTCTTGACCTTCATACATTATTTACTCGGTCCCTTCCGAGACACTGTAACATTGTGGAAGAGAGGGAGTGAGTGAGTGAGTACAAAGAGCGCGCGCGAGAGAGAAGTGGACCATGACCGCCGTCGCAACCGCCCCCGTGATGAGCAACCACGAGAATGCTTCCGACCACAGTCCTTCGCGCTTCACCGCGGTAAATGGAAGGGATTCAGTATCCGCTCCATCAAAACCTCACAATGATCAGGATTCTTCTGGTCCGAGGGAACCAAGTCTAGGACTGGGTCAGTCACTGGGACACTCCAACTCGGCTGAGCGTCAGGACCACGATCGCGGCAGCGGCAATTCACGCCCATCACCTTCACCGTCACCTAACCCCAACTCCAACTCCAACTCCAACCACAACCACCCTAACCACAAGCGAAAGCGATCCGAGTCTAGAGAGCAGCAAGATCACTCTCCACGCGATCTGACCGGTTTCAATCGTGGTTCTCTAGATCATCCCGATGTTGATGGCCCGCCCGCTTCCAATGGAGCGGGGTCAGTGTCAGGTTCGGGCTCGGGCTCAGTCTCAGAGTTCGAAACTTCCCATCCTGGACCTGCATCGGCCCATCGATCCGACACCAATGATGCACCATCCGGCCCGTGGCCCGATTATGATTCACAGTTGATCAGTCAGGCACAACGCGCCCAGCAGTTCGATCCGTCCGATGCCCACTTGGCCGATGCCTTGCAACGTGAAGCTCAAGGTCAAGAACGTGATATAGCTTCTCGCATTCTCCCGTCCCAGTCCATTTCCATTGGTCCACCGAATTTGTCAAATTATTCGTCCGACCGTTCGCCGGCCGCCGTTCAGGTGGCACCAAAGAGGAAACGCGTCTTCAGCAATCGAACCAAGACTGGCTGTATGACGTGTCGCCGGCGGAAAAAGAAATGTGACGAACAACACCCTGCCTGTAAGTAATACTACTGAGAGAGAGCAACAAACCCCGGAGCATTCATTAACATCGCATATTAGGTAATAATTGCATCCGTGGAGGCTTTCTATGTGAAGGTTACACGTCGCGGAGTATGTGGCAGAAGCCATCCAGTGCGAAGGCACCCGTTCCATTGCAGTCTAAAGATGGCTACGCCGAGGTTGGGGCTCAGTATCTACCAGAAAATTCCCAACATCATGAGCGGCCGGGAATGGTCGAACACGCCGAACGGAAGATGCGACCTGCGGTAGATGAGGGGGAACGGTCAGCCCAACACCATCACCAACATCAACACCAACATCAACATCAACACCCACCCCCTCCACCACCACCACCCCCACAACCCCTACCACAGCAGCAACAGCAACCGCAACAGCAACCGCAACAGCAACCGCCCCCACCGCAACAGCAGCAACAGCAACAGCCGCCCCCACCACCCCCACCACCACAACAGCAACAACAACAGTATACTACGAGCCCAACTGGCACCCATGCATCATGGTCGAAACGAGGATGGGCCGGTGCAGCCCAGCCCGCTTACGTCTCCGAGCACATCCCAAAGCCAGATTATCGAGAAGTCCCCCCCAGTCCATGAAATGCCACCTCGCGAAGGACCCCCGAAACCAGACTACGCGGTCGTCCCCCCCAATCCGCGAAGTCCCCCCCAGGCCCCCATCCCAAAGCCAGCATGCCTCTCTTTCAAGGCGGAGCAGTCGAGCAACAACAACGACCGCCCCTCCCACCCACCGCGCCAATGGACACAAACAGCCCGCAAGCACAGGCCCGCATGGCCCTGAGCATCGAGCACCAGATCTCCGGACGCGCGGTCTCAGGCGAAGAGACCGAAAAAGAGAAAATGATCCGCGGAGAACTTTACCGTCCCTTCGACGTGCAGTTGGTCGAAGAACGCGATCGGTGCCGCCGCGCTCTGTGGCGATTCAATAATGCTTGTAACCCTGTCAACGGGCTGAGCTCGAAGGAGCAAAATCGTCTTTTGAAGGAGATTCTCGTCCCGCCTTCGGATAGTGTGGCGAATTCACCTGGATTGGCCGCGCCCCGCTCTATCGGGTCGATTGGGCAGGGGGCTGTTGTTGAAAGCTCGTTTACGTGCAATTACGGGTATAATATTCATATTGGGGAAGATGTGATGATTTCCCAGGGTTGTTTGTTTGTTGATGATTGCATTATTAATATTGGGGCTCATACGTGGATTGGGCCGAATGTTACGTTGCTTAGTTCTATGGCGCATTCGAGTATGCAGGAGCGCAAGGGCTCGCAGAGTCGGTATCAGGGGAGACCGGTTACTATCGAGGAGGATTGTTATCTTGGGGCTGGTTGTACGATTTATCCTGGCGTGCATCTTGGTCGTGGTGCTTATATTGCCCCTGGGGAGGTGGTTAAGACTCATATTGTTGCTTATGGCTTCCAGGGGTTTAAGCCTAGCTATATGTGAGGTGTGGTGGTGAGGTGAGGTGAAGATTAAAGATGAGGAGCTCGCTGGGCTGAGCTTTGCGAAGTGAAGTTGAAGTTGAAGTCGGCGAGTGTTTTGGTGATTCCCCCCATTTTGTTCCTTTTCTTCTCTTTTTTGTGTTTGCCTTTTTTCTTCTTTGCTTCCAGAAGGGTTGTGTCCGATGTAACCAGTGGCCATCCTTTGTTTTTGTTGTTTCTTATGTGACCACCCACCCCCCAATCTACTTGGCGATTGACGTTGTTTCCCTTCCACATCTTACCCATTGTTATCTTATGCTTCTTTCTTTTACTTTCTTTGTTGCTATAGTATATATACAATGTGAATATGAACCATGTTCAAACTTTTGGAGTCATTTAAGTTGCTTTTGCTATATGCCGAAATGTCAAACTGCTGAAGTGGAACGGAAGAGAATAGAAGATAGAAAAGAGAAGAGAGGGTATGAATTGTAGATACAACCGGCTCAACAATAAAAAGTAAAAGTCATGGTGGGTATCTCGTTTTGTCAGAAATAAATATGGTGGTGGTGTGTTGGTTGGTGTGTGTGGTGAAATATCAACCCAAAATAGTAGCATATAGTTGCAGAAAGCACACCCTAGGTTTAACCTATTTCAACCACTCCAAAAACTCCGGCGTAAAATAACTAACCACAATCCCCGCTCCAGCCCTGAGAATCCCCTCCGTACTCTCAAAAGCCATACTCTTCAAATCAAACACCCCGGCCTTAGCACCGGCATGAATCATAGCAAACTCCCCACTAACCTGATAAGCCGCCACCGGCAAATCCTGCGCCAATTCCTTCGCGTCCCGGATAATGTCCAGATAACTACTCGCCGGCTTGACCATGATGATGTCCGCGCCCTCGTTCATATCGCGCACGATTGCGCGCCGCGCGAGACCTCGTCCGCCGGGTGGAAGTTGGTAGCACCGTCGGTCGCCGAAGGAGGGGCAGGATCCTGCTGCGTCGCGGAAGGGTCCGTAGAGGCATCCGGAGAATTTGGCGGAGTAGGACATAAGCAGGACGCGGTGGGCGAGGCCGGCTTCGATTAGTTTGAGTTTTATGCCGCGGATTCGGCCGTCGTTCATGTCTGAGGGCGCGACGCAGTGGGCGCCGGCTTGGGCGTAGGCGAGGGCTACGTCGGCGATTCGGTCGACGGATTGGGCGTTGTCGAGGGTGCCGTCTTCGGTTAGGATGCCGCAGTGACCATGGGATGTGTATTCGCAGAGGCAGACGTCGGTTGTTATGTAGAGGGTTGGGAAGTGGGTGCGTAGGAGGCGGATGGCGGTTATTACGGGGCCGGAGGGGTCGTCGGCGGATGTGCCGAGGGCGTCTTTTGCGGAGGGGTGCAAGGGCACGCCAAAGAGCATTACTGAGCGGAGGCCTCGGCGGATTAGGGGGGCGAGGAAGGGGATTAGTTTGTTGACGCCGCGGCGGTATTGGTTTGGTAGGGAGGGGATTGGTGTTTCTTCGTCGGGGTTGTCGGTTATGAAGAGCGGGTAGATGAGCATGTCCTGGGATTTGTTAGGGGTGGTGAGGGTGGATGGGTGTGGTATGGTGGTTACCTTTGTCAATTGGCGCTCTGCTTGCCAGGATCGGCTGAGTGGGTGGCTGTATCCGGCATGGAGTTGGCTGGAGATATCTCCAGAGATGCTGACGCTGGTGGCTGTTGTGCTGGCGTATGATCGGGCAGCGCGTGACTGGGCGTGGGAAATCGTTGAACCGCGCTCGTCTGCGTTTGAGTCGCGGAATGCGATGTCAGAAACGAGATTTGAGAAGGACATTTTGGGTGTTTGGGGAATTGGGCCCAAGGTTGATTGTGTTGGATGAAAGGAGAGGAGGAGAGAGATTTTTATGGAGGGGGCCAGTGGCGTTGAACGCGGGAATGTGACCGGTCATGCCGAGGAACGCGGGTAAGGCGAATGACTTGCATTCTGATTGGTTGGGACTTGGTGTATGTATGGTATGTATGGTATGGTATACCCCGGATTGATTGTCTGCGATCTCCAATTGAGGTAATCAGAATTGACAGTTGAAGGGCTGAATATTGTTTCCAGGAGGGCAAGCAGCTATCAAAGGTTCAACTGGCCTTTTACGCCAGTTTTGGTACGCAGTGCCGATGTTGTGTGGTCATATTCTAGGCCATTTAGTCAATGGTGCTTGTACAACATTGCAAGCCTTTGCCTAGGACCAATAGGAATTTTCGCAGATGCTGGTGATTAGATAATATATTCCCTGAGCGCAAGCCTCGGTGATAGTCTTATTAAAGTGGGCGATTTAAACCCAAGTCTAATGCAACAGGCAACAGGCACTGTCATTCCTTTTTTCCAGAGAACCTACATAGTGACCCAGACCCTGAACGAAGTCGAACTGTCTTTTGACACCCCTCCTTGGATGTGACTCGAAACCTCAGGCTGATACCAGATGGCCACTTTGACATCAGCTCCATTCGCAATAAGAATTTGAACGATCTGATGATGGTTTCTGCGTGATGCTGCTGCAAGTGCAGTGTTCCAATTTGAACTTGCAACCTGGCTGTTGGGATTGGCACCCTTTTTTGAGAAGTGTCTGGACGATCTCATGATGATCCCAGAATGATGCCGTTTGACGTGTGGTGTCCAAATATCCATTTTATAGATTAGCATTAGCATCCCCTCTCAATAAGGAGCTGAACAATCCGAGTGTATGCCCACCTTGACACCGCAAGGAGTGTGGTGTCAAAATTCTCATCTTGGAGATTAATATCAGCCCCATTTCAAGAAGCATGTTAATAGTCTGATAATGGCCTTTGAACAAGGCTGCTTCAAGTGTTCATCTGTTTGAAGTATCTCGTAGATTAACACTCGAGCCCCCTTTCAAGAACAACTCAAACACCTGATGGAGACCAAGTAAAATTGCAAATTGTACCCCCTCCTTTGGCGTACCCTTGGCCATTGACAAGTGTCTAAATCTGTAATTTTCCGTCATTAGGAGAGAAACGCCTATGTGGAGACTCAATCAAGCTGCATGGGATGGCTGTACCCGAGTCTTGGGGAGAGAAAATGCAAGTGCCAGTAATGAGCTGAATATGAGAGAAAAGGGAGTGACTGGCCCCAGAACTTATCCCCAGACATACCAGTAATCGACACACAAGTAGTCAAGCACACCAGGCAAAATTAGATGATCAACGCAAATTTGGCAATATTTGATCGGACTTTGATAGGCTACAGAAGCCATTCCAATCTGTCTTCTCACAACCCGGGTTGCGGGTTATCAAAAATTTTCGCGCAGTTTGGTGGATAAATGATAGCTTGGAATCATGGACACTAATGAACAAAGCACAAGGTCCATGACAAATTCCTGGAAATCAGGCTCAGGCCATATCTTCTTTTTGAAATCTGCATATCGAAAGACCCACGTTTCTCGAGAGCAACGCTCAATGCCAGTTTAGCTTCCCGGGAATCAATGGTGGTTCAGCAACTAGTACAATGCGAAGGAGAACCTGAGCCCTTTTAGCGTTCTTGCTGTGAGACAAAATCTTCTCGTATGCATTGAACACCTAAGTGGGCAGATAGATGAGCAGCTCTTCGACGTCAAATATCCGACTGTAGTCGACAGGGCTTTTCTCAATAACATCAAGGGTCAGATGTAAACAGAGATACGTGCGATGCTCCAATTTTTCGAGATGTTGGGTAACTCTTTGGCGATCTTCCTCTCGAAATCCCCTCGTGACATCCTAGACTCTTTCATCGATAAGAAGATCGATTTCTCAGCGAATTTCATCTATTTTCTCGAAAAGCTGCTGCCCCAGAGCTTTGATAATCTCAAGCCTACTATGCTCCTCGCATTCATCCAGCGCATCTATAACACATATCAGTTCGCCTCCCTCTGCGTTCGCAACGACCCGGGTCTATTTGATTCACTGCCTCCTTCGCGGCCAACGAGGTCGGTGAAGATGTGAGTAAGAGCCGAAGAAGTATTGCACATGGTGCCTGTGCACCGTTGATTCTCCCCGCGCTTTCTCTGAAAAAGAGATAGGTTACAATTGATTCAGATGACTGTGTAGCCGAGTTGGAAATCGTTATCCTGTTCAGATGTTCTTCATCAACCAAAGTTTGCGACAAGACAGACTTGCCACGTTTAGGTCCTGCCGAGACCCACAGAATATCCGAGTCGCTGTCACCCCAATCGAGGAAGCTCTGATCATTAAGAACCACTCACATGTTCCTCACACCCTCTTGGGATTTTTTCCCCTTTCCTTCAAAGTCTTCTGTGGTAACTTTCAAAGCCTTAGCACTTCTTGCCATGTATCATGTCCTCTAGCATCTCGAACGTCCTGAATAATTTCCTTTTGAACCAAGAGAGACTCATATAACTCCTGGGTTATTTGTTTTATGCTGTTTTGAGTCTCTGAATCCACCTCGATCTGGAAGGAATTACGGCAGCTTGCGCCCAGTGTTTTCAGCCTAGCTTTCATGTCCCCCCAGGCATTAGAGCCCGTGAGATCCTGCCACGCTCTTACATGTTGAGAACTAGCCAGATGACAAATAACTCTAGCTTGGTACTCGATAATGTAGAAGTATAGCTTGGTTAGAGGTTCGAAGAGATGTTGGTAATGCTCGCTCTCAAGAGGGACAGCTATAATGGGGCATTTATCCTCACAGTTTGTACCATTCCGTTATGTAGACGTAGCTCGCCTTCACTTTCTGGTAGGAAGGCAATGTCTCCATATGCTGGTTTGGGAAATGGAGGCGCTGGAGCTCGATCCTTACTTAAGCACAACAAAGCTTGAATAGAATATGTGGCGAATATCGTTGCCAAGCGGGATGTGGTCACACGAGCGAGCTGGGGAACAACGTCATGTTGGATCAATGGTCAAAGTATTTCGTGTTATTTATCAGGTCCAGTCTGCCACGCTAATGCCAACGAATCACGCTGGCCAGGCAGTGTATTTAGATTAGTGGGCTAGAAAGTGGGCCCTCGGGAAAGGATCTCTGTGTTTAAATGGTGAAACTGATGTCGATCTATGCCGTACTGCGTAGGCCGCTTTCCCTATCGGCTTATGAATAGGAAAATCCTAATATAGCCAGAGGGGTCAAAAAAGACAACGTACTTAGCGTCAACTAAGGTCACAATATAATTTAAACCGTGTTCCCCTTTCCGCACCTTCTGACTCTGCAACGAATCAAAGCTCACGATGTTAATACGATCGCCCTACACTGTTTGCTTGCCATTGCTTTGATTTTATGTGCCTGGCGCTTACTTCTCCACATTTGCGATAGGGCACCTCCCTCTTCAGCAGTTCAAGTTATCCCCGCGCCGGTGGGCAGCTCTACCTCTTTTCCCTCAATTATTCCAGCCCCGGTAATTCGCCGACCGGAAGAAAATGCTGGAAATAGCACATTAGGAGTAAGTGAAGTCTAATGTTTTCGGGAAAAGATTAGCTCGTCACTCACGGAAATCAAAGTTTCAACAAATTTTAACTCTATCCCAACGCCCTTCGTGGCGCACTTGAGGCCTCGAAGCCGCTGCAAAGCTCACACGCCTCGAAATCACGATTCCACCGAAGCCTCCAGTGGATGATCGTCTCGCCGATGCCTTCGCGAATATAGGGCCTCACGTGTATGAAAAAGACCACCCGACAACTGGAGCTAGCAAAGCCTGGCTTGCCCACTTAGACATAATCAAACATGTTTACCAATCCAACTTCGAAACTGCCCTTATCCTCGAAGACGACGCCGACTGGGACATTGCAATTCGCAAACAAATGATAAATATCTCGTCCGCTGTGCGTCAACTTACCAAAACCCCAGAGACCGAGTCAACACCATATGGTCGAAGCTGGGACGTGCTCTGGCTCGGTCATTGCGCGGAACACTGGGATGAGGACTCCGAAACGATTACCTTCGACGACGCTCATGTATGCCCGCATGAGGACTATCGGACCTGGATGGCGGATGATCTTGCAAAATTACCTGATCATAAGCGGGCAGTGTACTGGTCGAGGAACCCAATTTGCACGTTTGCCTACGCTGTTTCTCATGAGGGTGCTGGCATTATACTGCGCGAAATGGGAGCATGCCAGGGCGAAGCGTTTGACGTTCAGCTGATGCTCGAGTGCGAACGGAATCTGAGGTGTATTTCAGTGGTTCCAGAAGTTTTTCACCAATATTTTCCTCCGCTTGATTTCGCCGTGAAGAGCGATGTGGATGCAGGTAATGGCGAGGGTTCCGGGCCTGGGGATGAAGCTTTTGAATCTATCATGGGCTCGGTGGAAAATATTGTTCATAGTGCTCGTTGTCAGGCCTTGTGGGGCCAAGACTGCCAGAGACTTTAATTCGCGACATTCAATGAGCATTCGCCAGGCATAGGCGCACATGAAAGTCGAATTAAAGAGTGTCTAATAGTTAAGGCATTGTGATGGTCCTAGAAATGATGCTGCAGATCGATTATCCAAGGATGTAGTCTATTTAGGCAAGACACACTTATTTAAACTCTTGCTTGCTAGGGAGAAGGCACATATTAGCGCTTGATGGCAAAAATAATGGAGATTGTGCACGAAGGGAAACCACCTTCGTTGGGTTAATAAGCCTGCTACATTTTATCTATATAAGACAACTATACAGCCCATGACTATGAAGTTGAGCTTACTTGCTTAAAAAACTATGGACAGAGCACTCATGAAAATCCGGATATCACAAGGCCTATAGCTATAATTATAAAGGACTAAGGTATATACTAAAGATAGTGTGATGCTACCTACTATTAAGAAATAGGTGTAGTTAATACATTAAACTAAGTATGGGAATGTAATGATCAAGGTATTGACTAGGCAAGGCAAGGATGGCACAACTAAGATGGACAGTATATTCTGAATTGAATCAAGACTGATTCTTGAAGAACCTCAAGAATTCTATATCACCAAGTTTTTATATCTGTTTCGAGCCCGATTCCTATTCTTTACGAAGCGGTGTAATCGGAGTAATGTAGTCCGTGGTCGATACCGCTAGTTTATATTAGATCTGATCTATCTTAGTATGAACTAGGGTTTTTCTGTTATAACTATCTCTCTTCTTTTAAAGAGGTCTTTCCTAAGGTATCTGTAAATAGTATAATTCTTTGTTATATCCTAAGGGAGATATCTATAACTTCTTCTTTAATAGGTTACTACTTTATTTATAGTAGATAGTATAGTAGGGAGAAATTTACTATAATAAAGTAACTATTATATATAAAACTATATAAAATTCTATATATTACTAACTTTCTTTATCTATTAAGATATTCCTAAAAGTTTCTTTAACTTAAATTTCTTTATATTCCTAGTTAAAACTATACTAATAATAGGTTAAAATATAGGTATTATATAAGGTTTAGTATAAAATACTATAGTTATTTAGAGTTATAAGTATAATATAATAGTTTTTCTAATAATTTCTGCTCTAGAAGATAGTATAAAAATAGTAGAGATAGAGATAAAGATAAAGATAGAGATAGAGATAGGGATAATAATAGTAGTAATAAAAAAAAAGAAGAAAAAGAAAGTAGAGAAAGTAACTATAAATAATATTAGAGATAATAATAGTATAGATATTACTTATAGAAATCTTATTACTTATATACTATTATAGAATTATTTTTATAATTCTTACTATTTTTTTTATCTTCTCTATATAATTAATACTTTTTCTAAAATTTTAGAATTTAAATTATAAGAGTAAGATTTTTTTAGTCTTTTATAATTAAAATTCTAGTTTATTAAAATATTATATCTTTTATATAAATAATAGTAAAATTTATAAGTAGGTAAGTATTCTATTTTACTTTAGTTTCTATTAGATTTTATTACTACCTTTATTTTAATAAATCCTAGTTTTAATACTTATTTAAAGTATTTTAATAATACTATAGCAATATAGAGTTTTAATTACTAATTTATAGTAGACTAGAGTAGTTAGGAATTAGTTACTATTTTCTAATAATTTTTATTAGTGTAACAGCAAATGCCTAGGCTCACGTGCTATCCTAATAGACTAAAAAGACCACAATATCGAAGCTCTCACTTCGATATTCCTAGGCACTGATATATAAAGGAAGGTAGGTAGTGCACTAGTATATTGTAACAGAATAGCAAGCCGCCACCACAATATCCCGTTACAACTATCTCCCCTTCCTAACAAAGCCTGTCCCTAGGCTATAAACAAAGCCCCAGACTTATATTAGAAGAAGAAGAAGAAGATAGAACAGCCTATTACTTTATATAATATTATCTCCAAACTCGTGTCTTATATTTACAGAAATCTTTTAAACACCTACTTAATATATCAGAGAAAGAGGATTTTGTAAGTAGCTAGGTTCGAACCTAGTATCTAGATATACATCTAGGAGGATTACCAGATTCAGACCTAAGCTACCCGGAGAGCTTCGATATAATTATAACAGTAAATACCTAGACTTATATGCCATCCCAATAGACTAAAAAGACCACAATATTGAAGCTCTTACTTTGATATTTCTAGGCACTGATATATAAAGGAAGGTAGGTAGTACACTAGTATATTGTAACAGAATAGTGAGCCGCCACTATAATATCCTATTATAATTAGTCTATAATAAGAACTATAATCTAAAAGAAATCAAAGTTAATAGAAATATAGAAAGAGTAATCTATCTTAAGTTATTCTTAAAGTAATAATATATTTATTTTATAGATTTTATTTCTAGAATATCTATTTTTATAAGTTATCTTACTTAGAGTTTTTTAATTTTAGTTATAATTAATAATATTTAGTTGTTTATAAATTTTTTTAAGAATATTAGTTAAGTAATACTTTTTAATAATCTTCTAGATTTAGTAAAAATAATTAGTAAATTATAGATTATTTTATAGATTCTTAGTAATTTAGATTTCTTTTTTTATTCTTTAATTAATTTTTAATAAATTAAAATAGAATTTTTATTTATTATTTCTATTATTTTTTTTCTTTAAAAAAACTATCTTAACTATTTCTATATTTTCTTTATTTTAATCAAAAAAATAAAGTATTTTTTAGTATTAGTAAGATTTATAGTTAATTCCTATATATTATATTTATTAAGTTATTTTATCTATTCTATAAGATAATATAGTATATTATTTTTCTAATTTAGTTAAGAATCTTAAATAGTCTAATATATTATAGGGATAGTTTTTATATTATTTTAAGTTTTAGATTATTTTTTATTAATAAATTTATAAAGTCTTTTTACTTTAATTTCTTTGACTTATATTATTTACTATTATATATTTTTTATTATAATATCTATATTTGCAGAAGATTTCTCTTTATTCCTTTACAGATATTTTTTATTAGTAAAGAAGATATATTCTTCTAAAAAGTACTATTATATTCTTATAGTTAGAAATTAGACTTATATACTATTAGTATTTTAAAGAGAATTTTTTTATTAATTAGTTTACTATATTATTATATATAAATTAAGTATTCTTTAGTAATTATAACTAATATTCTTTTTGTTAAAATACTAGAGGTAGTTTTCTAGTACTTAGTTTATTTATTTTATCTATTAATTAGATTAGAGATAAATTAACTATGTTAAATTTTTTAAATTTAAGTATTAGTTAAGATTTAACTAAAACTAACTAGTAAATAGACTTTTTTAATTAGAGATAATTCCTTTTAGATTATTATATACTAATTAAATCTTATTATAGAAAAACTTAGCTAGTTCTTCTATAATAATTATACTTAGAATAGAGAGAAAGATTATTAACTTAGTAAGTTAGTATATAATTATAAAAATTATATTAACTAAATTCTTTATATACAATTATAAAAAGACTAATAATAAAGTCTATTAAGAGATTTATAAAAAGTCTTATTAGGATTAGAAATAGTTATAATTTTTTATATAAATAATATTAGAGTATCTTTATACTCTTATATATTACATAAGATTTTAATAAATTTTATATATAAATTTCCTAAGATAGAGATATAAAGATAGTTCTTATAATAAAGTAACTTTTTTATATTCATAAATTAGTTTAAATTTTTTAATTTCTTATTTAATATTAATTAAATATACTTATAAATTATAAGATCTTTATTTTATAACTAAATAACTAAGTTAAGTAGTTTTTCTAATTTTTCTAATTTTATATTATTTATTAGTAAATATAACTATTAAAAAGAAATATACTAAGTATAACTTAGTTAATAAAAAATATTACTAAATTTTATATAAGTTTTTCTATAAATTCTTTATAACTTAGCCTAAGACTTTATATGTCTCAATAGGCTTAGGGAAGGTTGGATAAAGAAGAAGAAGGTATTTGTTTGTTTAATAAGAAAGAAGATTGGTGTTTGTAATGTTTGCTGATATTGTATTGATTGTCTTGCTTGTCTTGTTCTGTATGTTATTCTATGGGCAAGAAGGTCCTATATGTATATCAAGTATTATAGCTACACCTAGTTTTTATTATTATAACCACCCTATTCGTTATAGGTAGGCTTAGGCGATATATGGGCGCTATGGGCGGGGTATCGGTGAGCTGAGGTGCCAATATAGGCGTTATAAGCGGGGTCTCAGTGAGCTGAGGTGCTAATATGGGTGCTATAAGCGGGGTCTTGGTGAGCTGAGGTGCCAATATAGGCGCCATTTAGGCATCAGCATAAGTGCCACTTAGCCGTCAAAACGGGTGTCACTTAGCCATCAGCACGGGTGCCACTCAGCCGTCAGCATAGGTGACACTTAGCCGTCAGCACGGGTGCCGCTCAGCCATCGGTATAGGTGCTGCTCGACCGTCAGTATAGGTGCCGCTCGGCTATCGGCACAGTTACCACTTAGGTATCACCTATCGGTTGTTATAGCCGGAGCTTTAGCGTATTTTTTTATAGGGTTTTATAGTATAATATTCATACTACTTATAACTAGAAGTTTAGAATTATAGAATCTAATCTAATTCTTTTCTATTTTTCTAACTAATGTTTCTTTAATTTAGTTTTCTAAATTAATTCTTTTCATTTTTTAAAAAAAAAAATTATCTTATTATTCTTAGATTTAGAGTAATTAGATTTCTAGTAATTAATTAAGTTATACTTAAAGTATAATTTATATATATATATACATTATTTTTAAATTAAATTAAAGTTTTACTAGTTTCAGTTTTTTTAAGAATTCTAATTATTATTATATACTTTACTAACTAGTTATAGTAAGTAGTTAGATCTAGATAAATAACTTACTAGTTATTCTCTATATTATTAGTTATCTATAATATCTATTACTTATACTCCTTAAGTATTAACTTATAATTATACTATTACTATACTA